GAATAAATGATTCAATAAATCCAACATCTTCCGTTAAATTAGGTAATAACCAAAATTTAATTTTACCCATGGTAAGAACCCACACACCGGCAAATATAATATATTTGACTACAGCCAATGATAATAATACACCAAGCAAACTAGCAAGTACCATCGATAAATAATAAACTCCAGTACGTACTTCAGCTGGCCATAATGGAAAAAGACAAACACCAATACAACCAATAACAAGCAACGCACCCATTATATATTGTTTAATTGTTGTTGGCGAATAAATCCAAACATAGAATTCATTAGCCGAATCTATGAATGTTTGATCATCGTGTAATTCAAATTTGAATTTTTTCTTTTTAGCTTTATCTTTTGAATCATCATCTTTCGTATTTGATGATGCTTCAGATGTTGCAGTTGCTTTTGTTTTACGTTGTCTAACTGCACGTGGTGTAGTCGATTGAGATGTATCACCGGTAACATTCGATGATGTTTGTTCTAATGAAGATTTTTCTTCTTTATAAACTTTAACAACTCGACGACACATTTCATTATCCAAAAATTTACGAAGCATCTAATTATGTCAGCGAAATAAAAGACGATATTACCGAAATTATTAAGTAAAACTAGTCATTATACCTGTACAGCATCATGTTTTGATGAAAAACAAACAGGATGTTTACTATCCTTAGTTGATTCACCAGCTAATGCTTTAGTAGTTATTGATGACCATTTCGATTCAGTAAGACATTCAACTGCTTTCGTTCCATTAAAATAAACAACTTGCATACCCATCAAAATTCCTTTTTTAGTTGGACATTGAAAACGAACATATTTAGCAATAGATTTTTCAATAGGTGTCAACTCAGGTGCCTCATCAATAGATCGACGTCGTCGAGATTTTTTTCGATTGTCCGACATTGATTAAATTTAACTGTTAAAGATCTATATGAAAATAGAAATGAATATAAATATAAATATAAATATATATATATATATATACACATATACACACACATATATACATATATAGATTACAAATAAATGTCATGAATAGAAAAAGGGTGGAGTCGAAGTGTTAAAAGAGAACAGAGAAAGAAAAAGACGGACAGTTGAATTCATATTGAAAATCACACTTTGATGTAATTTGTTGTTCAATATGTACACACAAACTCTTTTTAATACAAAGGACGCATTTGACAGGTGTTATATAATATGAATTCCCACCTCTTGAATATATCAATCAATGTGAGAAGTGGGTTCAACTATACTTTGTCTTATGTTTGTTGAATAATGGTACTTGATATGTCTACATTACTATACCTTGAGTGGGTGGAGACTGTCAAAACGGAGGAAAAAAAAGAATAGAATTATATATATTTATACGTGATGTATTAAGTAGTTAAATAATTATCTTAAATAAGATCGATTTAAAAATTCATTGTTAAAATGAAACTAATAGGTACATTTTAATATTAACACAATAACTATGAGTGTAATGTGGATGTATATAACTCGTGCCTCGCTTTTGTAAATGACTCAGAAACGTTGGACGAACAGGAGATGAGTTGATGTGGATTAGTATACATGTGGCACCATCTTAAATAATGATACAATCAATTTAAAAAAATTGAATCAGGCGAATTTTTTTGTAGAATTTATATTATTAATGATAATTAATTCGAAAACTCCAAACAGAAGAACGATACAAGGCTCTCTCTATTGAGATATGATCTGAATGGATTTTTCATTCGACCATTGATAAAATATTCCATCTTTCTTTCTTTCTATCTATCTATCTGTCTGTCAGACACGACAAAATTTTGACTTAATAACGAATTGTATTCCTTTTAGTAAGGTTATACATAATGAATACATCTGACTATGCAAAAGTGTCATATGAAATTATGAAATTATCAAGATTACATTTTGAGTTCATGTCTGAATAAGAAATAACCAAAAATATCTTAATACAATTAGAAATTATTATTAAATTTTTACAATCCAGTCATTGGCTATCGATCGTTGCTTAAAATTAAAAAGACAAGTGAAATATTAATATGTGTAGAATTTGATTCGATAAAATATTGATTTGATAATGATGAAGGATTTGCATAAATTTTTCAATATCTAGTTATGCTTTTTTTTAAAATTTGAGTGTAAACTTGAAGTGCGTATTCATTAACGAATGTTTTCTGATAGATGATGTTCGAAATACTATGCTATGATTTAGTTTGTTTTTCTATTCTTCAACATTGAGGTTCCCTGTATTTCAGATGACTAATTATGTACGTAATCATTCGTTATCTAATGATGAAATACAACGTTATTCACGTCAATTAATAATTTCTGAATTTGGTGTCAATGCTCAAGAACGTTTAAAAAGTTCTTCAGCACTAATTATCGGCTGTGGAGGTTTAGGTTCTCCGGCTGCTCTCTATTTAGCTTCATGTGGTCTTAGTCGTCTCGGTTTAGTTGATCATGATAATGTTGATAAATCAAATCTTCATCGACAAATAGTTCACAATGAAACAACAGTAGGTAGAACAAAAGTTGATTCAGCTCGATTAACATGTTCACAAATCAATTCATCATTAAAAATTGATACGTATAATCTATTGCTAACACATGAAAATATTATGGATATTGTTAAACAATATGATGTCATTCTTGATTGTACAGATAATGTTATAACACGTTATTTAATCAATGATGCATGTGTTCTTTGCCGAAAACCACTTGTTTCAGCAAGCGTTATTCGTTTTGAAGGACAATTAACTGTATGGAATTATATTGAAAAAAATGGGCCATGCTATCGTTGTTTATATCCACAAGCTCCACCAGCTGAAACAGTTTCAACATGTTCTGATGTTGGCATACTTGGTCCAGTCTGTGGAACACTAGGTAGTTTACAAGCGCTTGAAGCTATTAAAATTTTGACTAAAGTTGGTGATATACTTTCAAATCGAATGCTTCTTGTCGATGGTTTATCAATGAGTTTTCGAACAATTAAATTACGCAATCGACAATCTACATGTGCTGTTTGCGGAACAAATCCAACCATTATTGATCAACCACCTCCACCACCATTGGGTCAATGTAGTAATGATCAACCTTGTCGAAGAAATTTATTAAATTCAAATGAACGTATGACAGCTGATGATTTAGCGAAATCTACTGCAGCATCATTTATTATTGATGTAAGACCAGAGCAAGAACTCAATATAGCACATTTTGAAAATTCATTTCATTTACCGATGGATCGTTTATTATATAATAATAATGATGAACAGTTACGAAATGAACTTCGAACAAATATAGAAAAACATCAACAAATTGTCATCGTTTGTCGTCGTGGTAATGATTCACAATTAGCTGTAAAACGATTAAAAGAATTATTACCTGATATCGATAATATAGATGAAAAAGTCAAGGATCTTGTAGGCGGTTTTCAGGCATGGCATACAGATATTGATTCAACATTTCCGTTATATTAAATTAAGAAAATAATAAATTTATTTTTATTTTCTCAAGCTTTTATTTTATGTGGTCAAAGTAGCAAAAAATGAATAGAATATTTACAATTTTTATTCGAAATATTCAATATTCTTCTAGTGATGATACTATTGATGAATAGCGAAATGAGTATTAGAAAAAGTTTCAAAAAGAAAAAAAGATACAAACAAAATCAATGTCACCTTCCACACGTACAATGTCCGTAAATAAATTTTAACATCTTGAGAACAGATTCTATACACATATCGATCATAACGAAAAAGATGGTAATCTTGATTCCATCGATTGATAACATCCATCAACAGATGAAGCAAATATCTTGTTGAATTTATAAGGTCAACGAACAATGGATTGAGAAAGAACTTGTGTCTATATGAATGAATAAAAATGAAACATAGATCTGTACGTATTTTTACTCAGATAATCAAATACACTGACGTACAATAGTATTTGTCCTTTACTATAAAATAAACATCATTGTACGTGAAAGTGCTCTAATTTATACTATACAGGACGAATTAGATCTTTTTTTACATGAATAATTATTAATAATAATTATTTATAAATATCAATGAATAAATAAACAATATTCGAGTATTCAAATCCAATAACGTTCTTAATTGTGTATGATTTAATATATAAACGTAAACATGAGTATATTTGAAGAATAACAACTAAAAACGATACTCAATATCGGTAAACTAATAATAGACTGTACTGTAAATATAGTAATTATAGATGATTCAAGATTGTAACGAAAGTTTAAATGAATTTTTCAGTAGTAAAAATGTAAGAAATCAACAAAAAGTACCTTTTGAATTTTCGTTTTCAATGAATTCTATTTGTTAAGTCAGATAAAAAGAGACAAAATCATAAAATGAGTAGCTATAATACTAAAGAGACATCTCAAATGATAAGAGCTTAACATACAAAATTTTTAGAATTATCTTTCAGAAATAATCTTACCGAATATTTTTATTCTTTCACAACATGCAAAAGCCTAGATATTGTTAATATTTGTATGATCATATTTCCATGAATGAAGTTAACCATATACTGAGTTGTGATAATACTTCGAGTCGGATTATATCAAAATTATTTGTAGTAGAAAATCTTATATACTAATACTGTATATAAAGAAAATTTGTACATACGTTGCACTTCTAATTATATACAGACATGTTGAGAAAACAGATTTCAACAAAAACAAATTATCCTATGAAAAAAGATTACATGTATTTTATTTTTTCGTAGGTTATTGCTCGTATTCATTGATATTCAAGAGTATGTCCTTGACGTGTCACCAGATGTCACTCAATGTCACTAGGAAAACAAGCATCTGATCAAAAAATTGGTGATAATTTGATTCGTTGTATATACTCTGCATTGCGTAGATGTTCATGAGAACGAGATTGTTCTGACATTTGATTCGTATCTTAGCTTTTTTTTTATCTGCTTAATTCAAACGAATTAACCCTTCAATAAATATTCGTATGACAGCAACAAATAACGCTAATGACGTATTATTGCATATTTTTACAAATCTTTCAAAACGATCGGACAATCAAGAAAATTTAAATGATAGGTATGATTTCATTCAACAAAATAAATAATGACCTTAAGAAAATTGTTATTTTTCTATAGAGGTACATTCCCTCAACAATTGAATGATATTGGTGAATATCTTGATAATAAGCTTGGCGATATTGCCTCAGCTAGTCTAAAATCCACAACAGGTATAAGATATTATTTCTTTTGACAGTAAACAAACTGAGATTTATGAATCATATCTCTTAGAATATGAAGAAAATCGTATTGGACCTCCAACAGCAAGTTTAAATTTATTCGGAGCAACTGGAATCGTCCAATGTACTCGTTTTGATGTATATTTAAATAGAATTCTGTTCTTTTTCTAATGAAATTCATTTAATGAAATAACTTTTTTTTGCAGTACACTGGTATTGGAAGTTTTAATACAGTTCGAGCTGATGTTTGCGTTTTTCGAGGTAAATGGCAATATGAAGTATTGCTTGAAACTCGTGGTGTTATGCAATTTGGTTGGTGCACAGTAAAATGTCATTTTTCTCAAGAAATCGGTGTCGGCGATACTTGGACATCTTTTTCTTATGATGGTGGACGTGTGAGGAAGTGGAATGTACAAAACTCAAAATATGGTGATGTAAGAAATCATGAAAGAAAAAGATTTCATTTGTTTTTGGTTACAAATTTGATTCATTTTTTATAGTCTTGGTTAGCCGGAGACATTATTTCATGTTTAATTGATTGCGATGAAGGAAGTATTTCGTTCAAACGGTAAATCAAATAATAAAAATATTAATCACCATGCTGAATCTTTATTTATATAGAAATGGTGTTGATTTGGGTGTAGCTTTTGAAAATATACCATATGGAAAGGGTGTGGCTTATTTTCCTGCTATATCATTATCACAAAATGAACGAGTTAAAATAAATTTTGGTGCGACACCATTTCGTCATCCAACAGTGAATTATTTGCCAATCGATGAAAAACCACAGTTATTGACTGAACAAGCCGATTTTCTATTAAATATATTTGAACAAGTGGTTTGTTTCGGAAAATATTCGAAATCGAACGGATCAAATAAAAGCACAACTTTTTTAAAAGTAATGCCTTCATATCATGATTTTTCTTTGGTTCAAAATCGAGTTCATATAAATTTTTGTCTTTTTCAGTTATCACAAAATCGTATTTTATCTGATTCAAAAAATGATGCTATTCTAATGATTATTAGTCAACAAATAATCGAACGATTATGCCCACTATTGGTTTGTATTATGTTAAATTTTCTCTGTAAATAGAATAATTATACTGAAAAAAGAAATATTCATGGATATTTGAGTTATGAGTATAATAGAGTATTCATAAACTATATCCGTTGTTCTTCTATAGATAACATTGGCGACATCGTAAGCTTGCTTGATAGATTGAAAAACAATTTTGTATAGAAAAATACTTGTAATCAATTTGTATTTACTCTATAGTATTAGACAGAAGTTAATTTCGTGACCATAACTTTGATTCTGTATAATAAAATATACTCTTGCATGATAGAGAAATTCATGTGATATTAAGTTTCGATCAATGTTTTCTTAATCTTATACTTGAGAAAGAAATCGAGGTCAACCTTGACTCCATCTCTTTTTCAAGGTCATTCGTCTTAAAAAGTTGTTAAAGACAAGTACTTTTTACAATGTTTATAGATCTTTCATCTTTAATCAACATTATTTGATTTCAGCGCTAATTTTATAATATTTTTCAGCATATAAATTTGAAAAAAACAACAACATATGCTTCACTTCTATGGATTTGCACTAATATTCTCTATGAAAGAATAAGAATCATATAAAACTAAATACAATCGGTTACATTCTATTTTTTCTTCTTCTGTTTTTGAACAGGCATCATCTTATATTGTACAACAATGTCTTATTTCGATGTTTCTAAGAATCAATCGTGAAACTATTCATGGAGAACATGTTGAAATATCTACATGTCTAGATTATTTCTGGGCATTTCTTCAAGTAAAATCAAAACTTTCAAAAAAGAAAATATCATAGAAAAACGTTTTTTTACTCTAGTCAAATGATTTACTTACATTATTAACTCAATTATTTCTTTCATTGAATGTTCTTTATTTTTTTGAACCTGTTCAATTAACATTTGAGCAACAACGTCAATATTTATTTTTATTATATTCAATACTGAAACATGAAGATACACGTAAATTATCGTTGGAATCGATATTTTTCATTAAAGTCAAATTACCATTATTCATTGATATAAAACCACCTGATAGTGATATATTAAAACAGATCATACCAGATGGTTGGTCAAGAAAAAAGTTTAATTTAGTAAGTTCTATTTTTATTTTTCATATCAAACTGATATTGGAAAAATACTTTTTTAGAATGATCTCGAACGTGATTTAAGTTGTTTATCGGCATGCCGAAAATTAAAAGAAGATTTAAAATCATTAGAAACTATACAGATTGAAATTCTTAAACTTTTATTAACACCATCAGATGTTATTCAACATCCGCCATCCTCAAAATTCTTATTTATTACGAAATTCCGTTCATTTCTTAAAGAGAATCTTGCTGATTCGCCAGTAAAATTAAAATATATCTTTTCTTAGTTTATCCAGTTGAAATTTTTTTTTTATTGTAATTTAGCTTCATAATTATCAGCCAGGCATAATTAGAAATTTTTTTCATCGTCTATTAAATGTATTAGAATTTTATTGGAATCAGTATCATGAAATCAAATCATTCGATGAAGGTCAAGAATCTTCATTATCATTTGATGCTGCTTATGTTCCAAGTCAAAAATTTATTGATAATAATCTCGATTATTTTAATTTACAACGATTGGGTGGTGTACAAAGTCATTTAGAAAAAGAATATTCAGGTAACAAAAACAAAAGTCAAATACTTCTTTGAAGATTATTAATTTTAATTTTTGTTTTAATTTTCCTTTTACAGCTGATATAAAACGAGCAAGATCTGTAGGAACATCATCATTTTTATCGCGAGCTTTTTCTGATCAATCATCACTGCATGATAATATGTGTAAGATAATTAAGATAGACGAAAACGTTATATTACCGTTCTATATTTTAGCTGATTTAGTTAATGGACGAGATCGTTACTGTCATCACTTGGGACTAAGTTTGAAATCATCTAATGCAACTGGTTCAGAAAGTTTAACAGAATTACTTGATGGACTTATACTTTTGTATCATGTTGGTGTACACAAACATTATGTTAAAGTAAATCATAACAATAATAATAATAATAATAATATAACAAAAACAAATAAATAAATCTAAAATGAGCGGAAAGAATTCTATAAGTTATGAGAAAAAAAATGATTCAAAGCAGTGTGTTTTCACTACCATTGTGCAATCACTATAGGATAGTTTCCGGACAATTGAAACCTTAATGAGACCGAAATTGAAAAGAAAACATGACGGTTTTTTGTATAATGATAGAATTTATTCTATAAAACTTTAATTTTTTTAATGAAGATTAGTTTCCTGTTAGATCTATACTGATTTTAATACTGTATTTAATTATACTATAGATATCTGATCTTTTTTTCTTCTTATCTAGGTTGCTGAAGTAATTGATAGTTTAAGAGAATACAATGAATCATTAGTTGATATTGATAATAAAATAATGAATTGTCGAGATGATGGTCATGAAATTCGTGATGAACTTTTACGATCAAAGAAAATCTTTGAACAACAAACAGAAGATTTAACACGTAAGATTGCTTGGATAACAATGCATGTTTTTTCACAGGTAAACTATTAAATTATTTTTATGTTTTTTGAAAAACAAAAATATTTTGAATATTTCTCATAGGAAAAACGACATGATATTGTTACAATACATCGTTCTGTTTATCGTACACTTCAAATAGCATCTGAAGCAGGAAATTTATTTAGTTTTATACCCGAAATCTATTTGAATGATATTTATTTAAACACATTTACTGCTCTCAATGTTTATTATCCTACAGAAGGTAAAAACAAAATTTACAATCATTTTAATTGAAAAAAAAAAGATTATTTTTATAACATAGATTCAGGGTTAAGTCGAGATATTGCAATTGACTTTGTACAATTTATTGCTAATCATATGCAAGATACTCGAATAGTAAATTCAGGTGAAATATTTCTAGGCGTTTCTTTTTTTTTCATTGTTTTAATTTATTCGAATAGATGTTCGAGATAATATGACTCAATCATTAAGTGCATTTTGTTTTTATGCGGGTTCATTACGAGCATTGGAGGGTATGCGTGAATCTAATCGAACCATATTGATTCGAGCTTTATTGACACCATATGCCAATCGTCCATGGGCAATGACAAATTTAATATTAGTTCGATTTTGGAGAGGTTGTGGCTTTGGTTTTCGATATTCACAAGCGTATCCATCTAAATTTATACAAAGTTTAAGAAAAGATCGAATTCAAGGTAGAAGAAGATTTGAAAAATATAGTATAAAATAATCTATATTTTCTCTTACGAAGACTCATCACCATCAATGAAATATCAACAAGAGATCGGACGATATTTATTAAATAATATTGATGATGCTATTGCATTTCTCAATAGTTTATTAGGACAATTAAATTGGGCTTTCTCAGAATTTATGGGATTATTAAAAGATGTAAATAAACGATAGTTTTCATTTTTTTTTCTTCTAATACATTCTTATGGATTTAGTTGGTACCAACAAAAGCTCGTTATATGCCAACGATTGAACATAGACAAATGAAAATATGTTCGACTTGTTTTGATGTAACTGTTAGTTTATTACGTACAATTGAAATGAGCATCTGTGTTGCCCCAACTGTTATGCTTGATAAACACTCAACGAAATCTGAAATGCTTCTTATTCGGCTTCTTCAAGTATAAAATTAACTTTTAGTTCTGATCGAATTTTAATCATTATTATTTTGCTTTTAGTTACTTGCTCAAATTATCAATCGATTAGCAACGAAAAATTATTCTCTAGAAGATATGGAACGACTCAAAATGTACGGTAAGAAATCGAAATAATAAAAAGAAAATCTTCATTCTCGATCGTCACAAAAAATAATTAGAGTACTATGTAAAGTTAGATTTTTTATTATTAACAATGGCATTCTTCAATAATATGTCTCAATAGACTTTATTTAATTAACAGATATTACAAGTTTGTTCCGCATAGTAAAGAATAAATTTTCGCTTTTCTGTTAAATTTTTCAAAAAGAATCGTAGAATTTTTTGTTATAAGAATTTCTGATGTGCAATAGTTACTCTGTCTCGAATGTAAAAACAAACAAAAACTTATAGTTGAAAAAAATTAGAAGTCATTATGATATGAAAACTTCAATCACTGAAAACTTCTTTTCTTTTTATAACTAAATTTGTTTGTTGCCGAAAACTTGATGCATCTTCTTGTAAAGCGTAAATTATTTTTGATGAAAGTTGCCTTTTCATTCATGTATTTTTCTCTACCACAAAGAATACAAACATTTTTTTATTTGATAAGAAATAATATAACTATTCGTAATTTTCTAAAATAAAGTATATATTTCGGCAAGTTTTTCTTTTCGATTTCATCATGTTTTTCATTTTAAAAAAATCATATGTTATTCGAATTCGCTTTTAGGCTACGTTCGTTATGGCCTTTTTGGATTTCGCTATAGTAAAATATCAGATCTGCTTGTGAAGCTTACAAAAACGTTACCTTGATTAATATTTGTCGTCAGAGCTCATAGTATTCCTTCGAGCAGACTTGACCATACTAAAAATGTACTGAAAGAAATAATGTAATTCCACAGATATATACAGTATTTATCTATGTTAATCTTACTAAAATTATGGATGTACCATTTTAGCAACAAAAATAAAACAGCCCACTAATCCATAGAATATTTTACAATCTTCAACGAAAAGAAACTATTTTTTTTGCTGTTGAGACAATGAACTTTCAAAATAGAACCAACAGTTACGAACAAGTTGTAGATATACAGCCTATTTAAAAATGAACTATCTCGTAAAACTAAACATAATTCGAATGTAAACATCTATAGAAACAGACGATATGCCGTCTCACGACAGATACCATAGGAGCTCGTTAGAATGATATCAGCTTAGACAATATCTTCTTTATAGGGAACTTTCCTAACGTAAAACACAAATTTGTTGTCTCATGATGCGAATAAATTCGTCAGTTTTTGTTACCCTATTCTAACATATTTCATCATTAAAATTCTTCTTCAGAATTTATAATAAAAATTTATTTCATCTTAGCACTAGACAATATTCAACCATATCCAATATTCTCATCAGTATGCGGCATATTGGTACATTTAATTAATCGAACAAGCACTGAGACGTATAAAATTGATTCATACAAAAACAAAACATGTAGAAAACTGACTTTTCTTTAATTTGAAATAGGTCACTACGTGTTTGTCGTGCTATTTATAATGAAGCTGATCTTGATTTATCTTGTTTACGTCGTCTTATATATGGCTTGGATAGTGATGTATCGAATTCAAAATCATCCTCAGCACATTTTACTCTTGTGTCTCAACCAGAAATAAATCGATCAGAAGCTCATGATCTTGATGAATTGTATCGTAAATTAAATGATACATACGAAATATTTGCTAAAACAATGAAAAAATCTGATGATAATGATGATTCAATATGTATAATTTGTTATTCACATCAAATACAAGGAGAGTTTCGTCCTTGCAGACATCAAGCTTGTTTGTAAGTTATTCTCTTTATATATTAAAATTTATTGATTAAAGCGTTTTTTTTTGTTTTTTAATATTTATAGATCATGCATTAGTATGCATTTTATGACAAACAAAGACTGTTTTTTTTGTAAAACTCACGTTGGTGAAGTTGTTGATTTAATAACGGGCCATGTAATTGACAGTATCAAACCAAATGAAAATAATACAAAAGACAAATAATGATTTTTCTTTTTAAATTTGTGATCTTGTGTTTTGTCTTCTTCTTTCTTTTCATTGAACAGTAGGATGAATATCTATATATTTTCCTATGCCAGACTACAGACATATATATATATATACATACATACATACATACATACATACATACATATAAGAAAGTTTATTGGTAATTTTCCTTTTATTTCTCTTGATCATTTACAATCAATCAGTTTTCTCCTGTTTTCCTTTTTGACATTTGAACATTTTACCAGAAACGTTATGCATATGTAAGCAGACAGTTTGTTAATTTAAACATCAATACTTATCTTTCCTTTCTATTTCTCTTGGCTTCCGTCCTTCTTTTTTTGTTTTTTCAATATATTTAAAAGCGAACAGTATGAATTGTAATATGTCTTGTTTTAGTTATAAAAAGCAGCAGAAGTTTTATTACTTATATTTGATAAACAAAGAAGATGAAAGCACTTATTCTCGTCGGTGGTTATGGCACACGTTTACGTCCATTGACTCTTACAAAACCAAAACCATTGGTTGAATTTTGTAATAAGCCAATGGTTCTCCATCAAATCGAAGCATTAGCTCAAGTATGCTTTTGTATTTACTAGTTAATGAAATGAGTCAGTTTTGTTTGAAAATTAATTAGGTTGGTGTCACACATGTAATATTAGCTGTTAGTTATTTATCGGATATGCTTCAACGAGAAATGGAAGTAGAAGCTAAACGATTAAATATAAAAATAACAATCTCGCAAGAAACTGAACCTTTAGGAACAGGTTTGCACTTGGTCATTTTTGTTTTGATTGTGACTGATGTTTTAAACTTTTTCTTTAGCTGGCCCATTGGCATTAGCACGGGAACTTCTTGACTCAGACAATGGTCCATTTTTTGTTCTGAATTCTGATGTCATATGTGAATTTCCATTCAATGACATGATCAAATTTCATAAAGAACATGCTTGTGAAGGCACTATTGTTGTATGTACGCCAAATAAATAAATTAATCAAACTTATTTATATAAAGAAAATTCAAAAAATGAGCAGAAAGTATCTGTTTAAGGTTACAAAAGTCGACGAACCATCTAAATATGGTGTTGTTGTCTATGAAAAAAATACTGGCAAAATTGATCGATTCGTTGAGAAACCACGTGAATATGTTTCGAATAAAATCAATGCTGGCCTTTACATCTTCAACTCTGCTATACTTAATAGAATCGAAGTAAATTGTAGAAATCTTTTAGAAATTTAATTTTTAAAATTATTTTGCTCTGTTTTTTATTTAGCTACGACCAACATCGATTGAAAAAGAAATATTTCCTGCAATGGCTGCTGATAAACAATTATACGCATTTGAACTTCAAGGTTAAAATTTTAAAAGAATTTTAGGAATCATAGAAACAAATAAACAGTCTCGAAATATTCAGAGTATAACCTTAATTGACTGAAAGAAAATGATTTTTATAAAATTTAAATTAATTTTTTTCCAATCATAATTCAGAACAGAAATTCGTAGAATATATCAAATACTTGTTATTGAATTCCTAACACCATAATTTAAGTTATTTACATCAACTACAATTATATTAAAATTTTGTCAAAATCTACAATAAATTTTTACAGGGTTTTGGATGGATGTTGGTCAGCCGAAAGACTATCTAACTGGAATGAGTATGTACCTGAATTATGTTCGACATTCGAGTTCAGATAGATTATCACGTGAGAATGGTATAGTTGGAAATGTATTGGTGGTAAGATATTCTCTAGTCTTATTTACATTTCAAACTATTAAAACAATTATCTTGTTTAAATAGGATCCAACAGCTAAAATTGGTGAACGATGTCGTATAGGCCCTAATGTTGTCATTGGTCCACGAGTTATCATACAAGATGGAGTATGTTTAAAAAATTGTACAATCCTCGGTGATTCTCTAATCAAAAGTCATTCATGGATTGCCAATTGTATTATTGGTTGGCGATGTAATATTGGCCAATGGGTAACTAGTATATTATAGTGTTATTTTTTCTCAAATTAGATTTGAATGGTTGTTTCAGGTTCGTATGGAAAATACGAGTGTACTTGGACTTGATGTATCAGTACAAGATGAATTGTTTGTAAATGGAGGTATTATATTACCGCACAAAGCCATTAGTGAAAGCATTTCAGAACCGAAAATTCTTATTTGATATCGGTGATAGACAATATCACTTTTTAATGAAGAATATTCTTTGAAATCTCCTCACTTTTGATTACTATGAACCTTTCAATCAGTTTAAACAACAAATATTCAACATGACAGAAACAAAAAAAATGTAATAAATTATTTATAATGTTATGTGATGACAAGAGTAACTAGTGAACTTAAACTAGGTGCTTTCTGTTTGTGTGTTTAAACATATTTCATTCCAATTTCTCTGCTTTTTTATAACTTTTTTTTTTCTTACTAATCTGGTGTTTGTTAAAACTCATGTTTATCTTTACTAAAAACAGCAAATATATATGCGCATATGATCCTTTAACCATAACCATGTATTTCATTCTGCTTGTACGATCAAGTTTGCTTTGATTTTCAAGTTAGCAAACACTACACGAGAAAGAATTTGGCAATATATTTGCCTGCTTTTTTAAAAAACTATTAGCAATCGAATTTAAAAAGCTAACAGACAGTTCCAATATAACATGATTGGCTATGCAACGAATGATGGCGTTCAGTTTGAAATAAGCATTGAATATTTTTGAAAACCCTATTCATAATCGAAGATCTAGTTTAAAGCCGGAACACTTTGGTATCGATCGGTTTTCGACATGAATCACTGTTTCATATGCAAAACATCGATGTTGTCAATAGATTCTTTATTTCTTTTTTCTATTCGAATTGAACTTATAATCAATAGTGTTGTAATATTTCAATCAGTAGAAACTTTGCTAAAAACTTTATGTCTAAGACGAAAACTTGGTTCCAAGGAGTCGCATTACAAGCTTGTCTTATTCTGATCGAATTACTTCTTTCTGATAGTAGAGCAAGGGAGAAAAGTGCGACTCCCGTACTTTCAGAGTACACTTGTAGTCTAGATGGAGCTCAGATGGAGTACGCACTCCAAGAGTCTCGTTTTCGCCTCTTTCCATTGTAGCCGCTAATTCTGAATCAAACATGGATCATCATTACAAATAATGAGCTCAACGTTTAAATTGAAAATAACGTCGAAAAACTTAAATGAAGCGCGCACAATGAAAGTCATTTGACCTTGAATATTAAGCAGTATTTAGAGAAAATCTGTTGTGATTTGGCCAATTTGATAGTGGGAGTCGGGAAATTTTTCTCATATTCTTCTCACATAAAACACTATAGAATGCACTGATCACTGTGTTCAAAATCAAAATTTTGTTTTCTGTTCATTCTTTTTCACGGAACGGTACAATAAAGTTGCAATTAGCTTAAATATTAGTTACGACAGCAAAACAAATCAAAGCTGTAGCTGTCACAAAAACTTTAAAAAAATATTCAGCAGCCTAAAATCGACACTTTGTGCTTTAAATGCCTTAGCTGAAAGCGGCATAGAAAAGAAATATGTTTTCCCGATCGATAGCTCCTTCGGTTCGCTATAATCAGCATATACTTGTCTTTGAATCAAATGTTTTGTTTTTGTTCTGTAGATATTATATGAATGTTTATCTCAGTGGATGGGGGAAAGGGTTAATATTCAAAGAAGGATCAAATTTCATTTTGTTTCAAATTAAAACGAAAAATATTTTAGATTAATTGAATTTATCGTTAAAAAGAATTTGTTCGAATGTTTTCGAATTCTAATATATTTGATATATAGTTGTTGTAGATGATGATTGTCTTTTATCTTCAAAATTATAACATGATCAAGTTACTTCCATAAAAAGGAAACTACACTTCAAACAATTGGCAAGTCTTTGGATACCTCAAACAACGAAAATGAATGGTTATTACAATATTGCAAAATTGGAAAATAATAAATTTTAACTTGCATTGGTTTTAGACAAGTAATACATCTGAGTTCAACTCTTGTAAAGAGCACAACTGTTTGAATTGTTTTAGAACAAAACTTATTTTTCTCTAAGCAGTACTCAAAAAATCTTCGCTTAAATCAATTTCAATATCAACAGTTGTTCTAATAAATTGACAGCATTTTATTTACATTAAAAAAACATGAAATTTATCCAAAAAACTTAAGTTTTCTATGATGAGAAGGAGAAGTAAATTAACTGTATTTTTTTATTGAACATTTTTATGTTTATCAAATGATATTTCATCTGTGGCAATTTGAATCATCAAGTTATGAAAACGTTTGATGCTGAAAAAACTAATTTAAATTTATTGTGACTATTTAGCTTTAACTACTTGTGAAATTGAACAGGATTCACATATTGTAATTTATAACAATGATTTTATCACATTAAAAACTGTGAAAACTTGAAAGTTTAAAGATCGATATCTATTTACAACATCGAAAGTTTTCCTTGGACGTAGTTTTATTAATAGAAATTTTCTTTTTCTTTCTAAATCAGTTCAAATAGAATGAAATAATTCAATATTCAAATGTCGGTGAATTTGTTTATACCCAAGCAGACAAAAGATTTCAAAAACGCGTGGAAACGCGCAAAATTTTGCGGACGTGTTTGGATGTCAATCGGCGTTCCCAACTGTGTGTCAGTATCAGTAACAGTTACAAATGCACTACGTGCAAACGATAGAGGCTTTGGGCTGGTTAAAATTTCTGGTGTTTAATCGACAGAAAGTATCCATCGATTGAGCACTCATTTTTTCCAAACGTTAGTGACACAATCTGGAACGCCGGTTGCCATCCTAAAACGCTGGAAATTTTTGACTGTTTAATCAGTAATATATATATTAGGGCCGAAATTGGAATGCAGCCCGATTCGGAATTCGTTCTGACTAAAGTGGAATTCTAAGTTGCACTAAGATTATTATGAACGAGATTAAAATTCTAATTTCGACCAGACGAAATTGGAATTTTTTTAATGAATAGAAATCAATAAACTATTGATGACCAATATTCACAAATTTGTTTGTATTGATTGTATATGTGGCGTTGGCTTCGTCTTTTGATTGTTCTTTGATTGAATTTGTTCAATTATTGAAAGAATAAACGGTATGTATTGAAATATTCATGCGTGAAATTGTAAAATAAATAAAGGCGTCTAATTCAGCACTTGTTGAAGTTGATAATCATGAGCTGATCTTTTACAAAAAAACTGGATGAGTACATTAATTCATGGCATAAAAAATATCGTGAAACGTGTGATATCAAACAACGGATTTATAATGATATTCTGCAATGTTTTCTGTTACCAAAAGAAACGTCTTGTGAATCTTGTACTTCAAAAGTTGTTTATTGGGCAAAGTGTCATTTTAACTTAGTCAAAATTGCTGGAAATGATATTGTAACTTGTGTTAAATCGAAAAAAAACAATTTGTGTTTATGGAGCATTTCATAAAATTATATTTGAAGCACATGTTGCTGTTGAGCATGGTGGTCGTGAAAAGACCATGAGATGCCTAGTTCGCATTCGAATATAAATGGACATCCGACTGCATGGTATCAATTCGAAAATAAGTGATAGAAATAGATTTCGTTTAAGATGGAGTGGCTGTGGGTTGAGGGGGGCTAAGGGGTAACTGTGAGTAGCGGTGTAAGTGAGGGTGGGTATGAGGGGTACCCGGAAGGAGCGTGGGGATACCTGGGATACTTCAAATGTGATTGTGGTTGATGGATACCATCGAGGAGTGCTCAAATATGGGTGCGGGTGAGGGGTATATACAGTATGTATTCATATGTCGGAAAGTTAAACTAAAACTAAATCTAGGAATGGATTTAGTTTTAGTTTAACTGTTTCTTTTTTCCATTTATATTCGTACTCGAATTAGACCGCTACTCAACAAATATGATGTTATACTTCATGTTCTTGTTAAATATAGAACGAATTGAAATATTTTTTTGCTTTTGATCAAATTACTGATATTTTCTCATAGCTGAGTTATTTAGAAAAAAATTAATTAAATTAGAAAATGTCACGTATAAATGGTAATGCCTAAAGGACAAATCGTTTTTTGTGTACTCAAAAAGTGAGTACACTCTAGAATCGATCAGTGTGTCCGCCCGTAGACGCGATAACTTGCGAAAGGAGAGTCAGGCAGTGATGAAATTTTCCACACAGTTCAATCTCATGAATATCTCGGTTGAGTTCGAAGATGAGAAGAATCCCTCAAGAAATGGTTGAGTTATCGAAAAAATTGTCATTTTTGACCAGGCCATCCCTGAGGAGGAGTACAGGGAATTTTTTTCAAAAAATAAATCTTTCTCAGAATTATTCACAACATATATAAATCGACTGAGTTTTCAACGCTGATTCCGAATCTGATATTAGTTTTGAGCTAAACCGTAGCTTTCTGATGAAACATCGCCTGAAAAACGTCTCAAAATGCACAAAAACTGCATCCAGAAATCAAATTGCCTAGTTTCTCATGATAATTTTGGTGTTCAGACATTCTAGAATGACTCATACATCCCATGCACTTTTTGCAGTACACATAACTTTCGGATGAAATCCGAAGTTTCCACATTTATTTTCTTACTTATTGAAATAAATAGGAAAACGATATCCGATTGATATCTTGTACATATGCTTGTCTTGTTTCTATTCTGTAATGTTTTTCAAATGATGCTCGTGTTTCGGACAAAATTTCACAGGAAAACCTTTTCTAGCTTTGCAAAAACATTAAATCTCGATCAAAGTACTGAAATAAATATTTACTACATGAATTTTGTCGAAAGTTATATTATATTTGAATAGATTATTTGAAATAAAAAAAGCCATCTGCATAGGTGTCACTTATGATGTCTGAGAAGTCCTATTGTAGCAAAAGCAATGATTCAGGCGCATCAGCAAATAAACCGAAATTCAAATGTTAACATGTTGTGAAATAACATTGTTTGAATTTTAAATCACATCATCACTTTCGTCATTCTATAGACAAATCGAAATCATGCATTAATTTTTCTTTATAATATATTTTGTGTGCATATACGGAAGTTAACTCAAGTGTCTACACAGGATTTACTTTAAAACAACAAGAAAGCGAACTACGAAATAATATCCATTGCTTTAAAGTGCATGACTCGGCATTCTCTCTTTTCTCTTCAGTTGTAAACATAGATATTTAAACATAGTTAAAGCCTTATTCATACCAGTCGTATGTGATAAGTTGGTTGTTTTTCTTCTATGCTTATTGAAATGAGAGAGTCAAAAACTTGTGATACTGATTTCTTTTTATGTCCTTCATAAACATAAGCAATGTACGACAATAGCACCATAACTATATTCATAAAATTATTTTCAGAACAAATATTAACGGCCTATTAAATAGGGTCCATAGATATAACCTCCGAGCCTTCCTTTATCTACATCAAGTTACCATGGACGATACTGATATCGAACGATTGTGTATATTGTTGTTTCTTTTTGTTTTTTCGATTCTTTTCATATTTCAAAAATTTTTCTGCTTTTTTTTCAAGACTTTGCAACACCATTGCTTACACCACATCTTAGTGATTCCAATGCATCAGATTATTTTGACTTGGATGTAGTTTATTTTGTATATTCGCAATTAAAATAATAAAACTTTTTTTTTTTCGTTTTAGTGTTCGTATTCAAGTAGAGATCATCAGCAACGCATGGCAAATATACCAAAAGATCTACAAAAAGTAGCTGATCTATGTCTTCAATTAGGTACGACTGATTATTTTTATATTAGAAACTATCATAGAAATTGTTCAAACTAAATCAATCGAATAGTTGCTGTTATTTTTCGTGTTAAAAATGAATCACTTTTACTATAAAAAAGTATTGCTCTTTATAAAATTCTTTTGCATTTAATCCTGTATGTTTTCTTGTGTACTTTTAAAAGCATTACATAAAATTTCTACATATCTAAATTTTATGTATAAGTGATAAATTATAGAAATATATTTTTTCAGAAAAATTTCATAAAACTTATTTGGATGATAATAATGAAAGCGAATCTGATGTACAAGATCAACGACCAACAGAAGCTGCTGATGCTAGTAAATATCTTTTGAATCTTTTTCTTTCTGTTTTCTTAATTCTGATGTAACATTGACAACTATAGGTGAGATTGCTTCAAATACTCAAACAACTACAATCAATACTATTGATAGTGAGTCACTTTTCTACACGAGATTTTTGTTTTATATTTCCTATTGAATACATTCTCTTCATTCGCAACCGTCAACAGAGCATGATGATGATAGTTTTACAATTGTCCAAGAAAACAATCCATGTGAAGAGAGTTTTTCTAGTGTAATGTCAGATACTGAATTAATACCGATAGAAGAACCGTTTAAGCGGCCAGTGCTTAACTATAGTCGTAGTTTATGTCTCGCATACACAGGTACACAAGATGGTATGCATGAAAGAAAACGTTTTTGTGTAAAATAAAATATTCTTTGCCTATTAAGAAACATCAATTATCAAAGAAACATTGACAACAACATCAGATATATCGTTGGAATTCACTGGAATTGTAGCGAAAGATAAAAATGATATTGGACATATTCTGATAAGTTATAATCATTCAACGGCAATAATTTGTTCGAAAATCGCTAAACAGTTGAAAGTAATAGCATAAATTTCATTTTGTGTTTAAATTTTAATCTATCATTTGTATACAAGAATCTTAATTATAATGTTTGGATTGATCGAGATAATATATCCGGTGATATTTTTACGTCTATGGCATCAGCTGTCGAAAATTGTTTTGTTGTTTTAATGGCAGTTAATGAACCGTATTATCAGAGTCGATATTGCCGATTAGGTAATTTAATTGTTTTCCTGTTAAAATCTGTTTTTTTTTCAAGTTTTTCTTTATTTTCGTAGAGGCTGAATATTCCGTTGAAAGAAATAAAGCATCAATTCCGATGTTAATGCAAGCAAGTTACAAATCACGAGGATGGCTTGGCATAATCAACGGTTCTAAACTTCAAATCGATTTTTCCACAATATCATTTGATGAAGCATTTAATTTATTAGTAAGAGAAATCGAAGCTGTTAGAATTTCGTTGGGAGCTGATGAAAATTTCCAAAATGGTAAATAGTCCGATTATAAGCTAGAAATGTAAAACAAAAATAAAAGAATTTTAAAAATTTCTTCTTAGCTGCAACACCTATCAATAATCAGCTAATAACTACAATGGACAATTCATGGTTTCATTCACAGAATGTCCAAGATTGGAGTACTAATGATGTTATTGAATGGTTAAATCGAGAAAAACTCGACATGTAAAAAAAAGAGATGTTTTCGTGTCATAAATGTTTTTGTTTTTGAATTTTTAGGTTTGAAGATGCTTTAAGAAATTTTACTGGTAAAACACTGTGGCAATTATATAAAATAAAATTGAATGTAAGTGCTCTATATATTTGCTTACTGTACTTTAAATTTTCATTAAATTCCTTTTAGTCACCAACAGATTATTATCGAATGATTGAGTCATTGCTTTTCCCCACAATCCCACTTCGAATTTTTCATAATTTGACATTCGACTCAGCACTTGAATCAATTTTTTCATCGTTTATTCAAGCAATGCGTCGGTAAAATTCATTTCAATAAAAAAAGAAGCATCGAAAATTCTTCCACAACTTGGCAATAAATGAATCAAACGAGTTCTTTAATCAGAGTGGGGCTCAGGCTATTTTTTCTACAATTTTTATTTCGGCCTTGAACGATAAAACAAAAGTGATATTCATATTCTATTTTTACATGTGAGCTGTGAATAAAGCCAATCTTTTGCTAAAAATATTTGTAAACTTTTCATTAGTCAAATAAAGCATTTATTTACTTTTGTACAAATCTATTTTATTATTTAAACTTCTTTTACTGATAATTAGACTTTCTTTTTCAACTATACATAGATATATATTATTTACTTTCTAAGCTATCTATTCTAATTATTTTAATCGAGTGCATTATCATTAGCAAATCCTTGAAACAGAGCGTATTTTATCTTTTCGCCGATTTTCGTTGTCAACAAAAAGGTCTAGACTACCCTGCCGTTGATACGAACACAATATAGGAAAGAAGTGTTTACCCTCACTCTTTAAATCCTTACGTTTTTATTCTCATTTCCAATTTTGTTTTTCGTCATTTACGACTTTGATGTAGTCTTTTTCACCAATACCATAAGAGAACGCAAAAAACAACAACCTCGTTTCTGGTGTAAATATGGGATTCTTCACAGAAAAAATAATGAAGCAGCTACATAAAAAGAATGTAAAAAAACGGGAGAGAAAGCAAACAGTATTCGAGAAGAAAAACGATAGGGTATAGTATAGTCGATGTTTTTTCTTTTCTTTTTACTTTCTTCAATGAAGATGCAGACAGCATACCGGTGCAATGAATATTATGTCGGGGACAAAGGGCAATCTTATGCAACTGACATTAGAGACTGCTTTTTATATCTGCATCAAATATTTTAGTTTATGCCGGTTGAAGACCGTTAATAGATGAGTAATACTTCCTTTTTTTAGATACATCAAATTCATTTCAATTTTTGAAAAAAATTGATCTAATTATCTCTTGGTAAGCTCATCGAAATAATAAATCGAAACTGTGAATAGAAACAACAGCTGATGCTAGATATGGCGCATGATGATGAACAAGATAAGGTATACTATATATAGAAACAAAAAGTTTAATCAATTGATTCATCTTCGTTTACTCCAGAAACTTGAACATACAAACATGTTGTCAACTAATACATCAGATTTTACGCGAGACACCATTGATATAAATGATATTAGTGACAACCTCGATATCGATGCTCTAATTGGCTCATCAAATACAGGTAAAATCTGATCTGAAATCTATATAAAGTGAGAGATATTCTGAGTTTTGAAATGAATTTTGATATTATATGAAAATCAATGTTTCATATTAGAACTTTGACTGAATCATACCTATGTTTCTATTTGATACTACTTTAAAAAGAAATTCTTTGGATTCGTTTTCGTAATGGCAAGTTTGACCGCTGATGTCCTATACTAAAATGTTACCTATGTTCGAAAGAAAGAACTCTAAATAAAATAATAATCAAATATGATATAGAAAAATTGTTTTTTTTATATAGACTTTGGCGAATTCTCATTTTTTGATAATGCGCTTGACAGTAATGAAATGTCAGCATTATTGAGCCTTTTACCCAGTGAATCAAATGAAACAGAACAGTTACCACAAAGCAATTTCGTAGAAAGTAATGATCAAACGTATATCAGTGAACCACAATCAGGTATATTTTCACGTTTGTCTGTATGTTTATTTTATTAAGTTTTATGCGCATTTTACTTCAGTGTATTCGCAAACATCATATACCACCAAAGGTTATGCACCAGAAGAGCCTAATGCTACTGCGAGTAAGCAGTTAATATTAAGCATTCGTTAGCTTTCAAAGTTTTTTTTTTCTTTCATGATCTTATTTCAGATTCATTTACTGCACATATTATTGTTCAACAACAAGAGCGCTTAATTAAAACAGCAGCAAGATCACGAAGAAATAACTGTATGTCAATTTTATATTTAATCTTTGAAAAATTATATAATTTCTTTATTTATTAATAGACGATAGTCGACATCCAAGCAGTGTCAAGCCTGTTGATTATTTAATAAGTATGATTAAATCGAACATACGGCAAAATAATAAATAAATAATTATATTTTTTCTAGATCCAAATGGCTGTGAACCGTGTACTACTGTACAAATGCCCAATAATTTTGCATATCAACAACAACGTAAGTACTTTGTTTGTGATTATTTTCTATGGTTTTCTTTAAATTTCAATCAATGTTTTTAGTTCTTCAATTTGATGCTGCAGTGTCAAAGAAAATTGAAATTAAATGCGAACCACGTTCGAAATACCGTCCACGAACACAAAATGAAAGTAAAAATTCAGCACACTATGTGCGATGTGAAGAGGGTGTTAAGCCTGAATACCCAACAATTTCGGTATTTCATTGATTAATTTATCTCAAAAGTGTTATAAAGACTTTTTTTCTAACCTTCTAGATCCCCACGGAATGGAATTTTCAATCCGACGTGAATCTTATTGAAGTTGCACTTATGAGTATAGATAAACAAGTCCATCCATACGCTATTGATAATAAAACTAGCTCAAATATATTTGAAGACAGTACATTAATCTTTAAACCAAAGGGTTCCAATGCTTTATACTTTCGTGTAACAAAGGAAGATTTCCTAAATAAACAAAAAACGTAATTATTGATTCATTGCTATTTTTCAAACTTTCAGTGTACATATTTCTTTTTTTTTCATAGCTTTATGATTGAAATCATTAAAAGTAAACAAGATAATAATATAACAAAAGAGTTGATTCGTACGCGACAACTTGAACATTCGATGTTTCGCTTTACACGTCACTTTCAAGTGGGAAAAGGAGATTTTCAATGCGATGAAGGCAGTACAGAATATTCTTGTATTATGAGTGAAGGTATGAGAAACATTATTATAGATTTCAAGAAAAACAAAATACTAAACAACGAATTTGTTTCTATTTTCTAGCTTATGGTGATGTTGAAGTTGAACATATGGGTCCACGATATGGACCAATGTGCGGACAAGAGATGGTTTATGCTGTTTTAAAAGGTCGTATTCTGAAAAATGATTTAAAGATTGAGATTGTTCAATATTCAAGTGGATGGACATATTCAGTACAAAATTTTACTAAAAATGGAAATATTATTTATTTTCTAATGCCTGCTGTTCCACATCAACAATGCGATACTGTGACAGTTGATATCATCATTTATTATAAAGGATTAGAATTATATCAATCACCTTATCTATATAAAGGATCATTAGATCGTATGTAGTAATATTTTTCCTTGTGAAATTCATTTTTTTAGTAAACTTTTTTATGTAGAAGAATTAGCTTCACTTCATTTAAATGATCCAGGCATCACCTCTGTTCCATTCTCAACGTCACAGAGTTTCGATGTCTTTGAGTTCTTGGCGGCTACAGATATACGTCCCACTTTATCTCGAAAAGGATCGACACATAAGTCGACGAAACGTCTACGTCACACTTAAAAAAACAATATTTTGAATATATTTGCTTATATTTCTTATTATTTTACTTTGGATATTATTTTCAAATTTTCTTACGTATTTTGTGTAAACTTTTTTGACTTAGCAGTTTCTTCAGTTGGTCTATAGGTATTGAATTACATATTAATATTTAATGTAGAAGGCTTATCGAACATCTTTTAGAAATCTTTATAAAAGAAAACAAAATAACAATTTTCTACGTAAATGTTAATTTTATATTTTTAGCATATATTTTTTTCTGTATATTGCTGTGTTTCATTTTTGATTGTTTAAAAGTTTAAAAGAAATAAAGTATTGTAAAAATATATATATACATATATTTCGGATCAAGTCAAGAAATGGATCTTTGCAATTAATTGTTAGCCACCTCATTATTTTAGGAAACATTCTTAGAGCAAATCAAAGAAATCATTGTTTTATCGCTTATTTTGAGATCAAATAGATATTTGTACGTTTATTTTGTCTGGCAACAATTAGTCTATAAATTCAATGAATGAAGTGCCATTGCGTATAGAATAAAGTGCGAAATTTTATTTTTTTTACTGTGCTATTTTGAAAGAAAAGAAATCTTGAATGAGGAATTCAAAGCAAATGGTATAAATGTGATCCTAACGTTCTCATCTTGCGTAACACGTAGCATTTTCTACATATTCATTCTCAACATCATCATGGTACGAATTACGCATTTTTAATTTATACATAACGACCGAAAACAAATATCAGCGTCTGTTGACGTCCATGTGATATTTCGTATTGCATTAAAGTTATTCATTCTTAATCTAATAATTGAAGTCTTTCAGTGAAGGTGGACTAATCATGAGTATTTTAGATGTAAAAATTATATCATTAAAAATAAACAATGATAGAATAATAACATAATTCAGTTCATATCAAATATTTATTTACTGGCACAGCTTTTTATTACTTAATAAAATATAAAATAGATGTTACTTTTAAATAACTTCAATGTGCGGCACACAATTTTTTCGAAGTATTTTTCTATGTACTTTGTTGAAAGAATCCTATGATCTTAATTCGTATTCAAATAGCCAAGTCTTTTATTGTTCTTCCTTGCTAACATATATATCAAGTTATTCATATTAATAAATAATATCAAAATATACCGTATTGAACAGTTGAATAGATATTAATATGCTGTACAATTATGAGAATGTGAACATTACATGTATTTTAATTAGATAGTTTAAATTTAACAATTAGAAAAAGCATAAGATTTGTCTTTATCAAAAACAGAAAAAAAGTGTTTGGAAATGTGCGCATAGATATTTCTTTGCTATTCTCTTAATATTCTCTTTTGGAGAACATTTCAACACAATGTTTTAATGCATATAGTTTGGAAATATTTCAGCTTTACCTGTAAATCCTAGCTGTGTATTTATAAATCATTGCCATCTATTGAATATAATTTTCATTGATGTTAAATGTAACGACTGAAAAAAATCGTAGACCATCTTACTTTCGTAGGTGTTGTAATTACACCGCGTCTTTATCATATTTTCTGTGAGTTCATGTTTGTTAAACTGTTTTTTGTCTTATTTTATACAGTAATACTGAATCAATTCCGTTTGAATGAACCAACGAAAATTGATACAGCACCAATCGAGTGCTTAGTAAAAACTAACAAAACTCGAAATAAAATTGTTTGATATTTTTATTTCATATCGCAGCATGTTATAATTTAAACACTGTAAGAACCATTAGCTTCTTTCTCATATTAATCTCTACGAAGCAGAGATGGGCAAGTCAGCGTTTTTTCGACTCAAGTCAAGTCAAGTCAGTGACTGAAAATTTCAAGTCACGTCAAGTCAAGTCATAGCTAAGCCAAAGAAAATTCCAAGTCACGACAAGTCAAGTCATGAGTAGTTCAAAATATTTTCAAGTCAAGTCAATTTGAGTCATAATTCATTCAAAAAATCATCAGGTGAAGTCATTTTTTGACTTGACTTGCCCATCTTTGATTTATTATTTGTATTTTTCTTCTACATTTCAAATTAGAGTTCAAAAATTCAATTAATAAAAGTTCTCTATGCATATAATTTTTGACTTGACTTGAATTTCTCTGTACGACTTGTTGCAAGTCAAGTCAAGTCATTCTGAAAATTTTCAAGCCAAGTCGTGGCCCATCACTGACTTGCTTATCTCTGCTACGAAGCGTTGATTTACTTCTACTTTGTTAATTAATGTATCTATCTGTCTAGTTGATACGTTGTTATGCAATTTGAAGAAGAACAGATAAGAAACGTGGTATAAATTTTAAAAAGAACTCAAGTTTTGTCTGTGATTAACATGTAGATATATCATGGTTGCCATAATTTTTATTATTATGTTTCTCGTCTTGTATTATTAGGCAGTTTTTGATAAGCAAAATAGTAATATAATAGCTGAATTTAATCCCACAGATTACATCCAAAGTAGCCATCTTACTGAGCTATTCGTTCTACCATTTCAATAGAAACTAACTTACACATATATTTTAAAATTTTATCGATCATAGAAAATTATTTATTGATCTTATAATAGGAATTCTATCAGTTGAGTTATTTTGTAACTGATACCTTTTTTATATCAGGAGAAATCAATCGATCTCTATCATAGTCTAAATTCTTATTTATGCTACCTAAAAATAGATTATTTATTTTCCTATACCATCTGCATCTAGAGGTGTCAGCCGAAGGGTTGAACGGCGACGGCGGGCAACAGTTTTCAATTTTTGAAGATTTCCAGCGGCTCGTTATTTGAATGAGTAATGCCTTCAGCGGCGGCTGCTACAAATTCTTAAAATTTTTTTCACAGCGGCGGCGTCGGCTGATATTTGTGAGTCCTTATGTGGCGGCGACGGCTCAGTTAAAAATTCACTGACGAAAATTAAAAGAAAAATGTTCGATTCGATCGCATATGTATTGATGTCAGCGGCGGAAAATAACGCTATCAAAAATTTTTATCTCTTGCAGCGGCGCAACGGCTAAACTTGTTTTTTTCGCAGCGGCGGCTACCCCAAAATTCTTAAAATTACTACTAATTTGGTGGTTGCGGTGGCTGATATTATTGAAAAATCGGCTGCTGCGGCGGTTCAGCCGTACGGCTGACACCTCTAGTCACGTGTAATAATCCTTATCGTTTATATTCATCGAACAATACAATCAAAATGAATGTTATCGATTAGAAGAGAAATCTGAATACTGATCAGGTTTTCTCCTAATTTAGTACGGCTACCCAGGTGAAAATATCACAAAGCAAAATCATCTGCAGATACGAGGGCATTAGGTCACGTTTACCGTGCCAGAAATTGACGAAAGGGTCCACGTTTTTTTTCATCTCAATTCCGTTATAAAAATTCATTTTTGGAAAGAATAACTTCTGAAAACGAGCTCAAGACTAAATGTGATTATTTATCAGTTTGTAACTTTAATTGATGCTAAAATTATTTGTAATAAGTTTAAACATTATTCATGTGTCTGCATACGATCAACAAAATATGCCAATGATAAAAGCAAAATAATACATTATTATCATTTCAATCAGATTGACTGTGTTCTTTTTAGTCTGTAATAGAAAAGAGAATTTTTAAAAATTTCAACGTCGAATGAAAAATCAGTCGATTTGAGTAAATCGAAGTAAATATATTTGATCTATTTTTATTCTTCTAGTTAGCTATAAAAAAAAGCTTCGGAATTCAAATTACGTCTATGATTAAATGAATACTTATTATGCATCTAAAACTAGTTAACATTTAAATGCTTCGCATGTTTCAAAGCTAGTAATCTTCATTTTCTGTTGACAGGTGTTCTAAGCTTTATATTTTATAGTTAATCATTAAGAACGACTATTGAACGTATGACGACATTTAACCAACAAATTAAAACTTTTGGTACTAAAAATATACAATCATATTCCACAGATTTTTAGGGGCGTAACCAGAAAAAAATTGTAGGGGGGGATAAGTCGTTGGTCAAAGCCATGGTAGGGGGGGGGGGGGGGTGACCTTGTTTTTTCATGGGGGGGGGGGNCCCCCCCCCCCCCCCCCCCCCCCCCCCCCCCCCCCCCCCCCCCCCCGTCCCCCCCCCCCCCCCCCCCCCCCCCCCCCCCCCCCCTGGCCCCCCTCTGGTTACGCCACTAAGATTTTTCTATTCTAAATAGGTTAGAGTGAGATGATTCAATTGTCAAAGTTTCTCTTTATAACAAATAAATTGACTAATTATACTAAAACTCTCTTGAATTTGTCATTAGTATTCTAGCTATTAAATAATAATCAGAAATTTATTCTATGAAATTTCGTTCTCATAATTGTGGAACCTATAATCTTAGTTAATAGTAGCCAAGTAAAAAGAGTCGGTTTCATTTTTCAAACAGATTTTTGCACAATAGATTGGCATCTCAGTCGGCTTATATTCGTATATTTTTCGAAAGTTTAAAGATTCTTGTGAAAAAAGCCATGTCTTTCTTACAAGAGAAATTAAATTTATGAAAATTTACAATTTTAGCATTGACTTTTTAAATTTTCCTGAGTTTTAACTTCTCCTATGACATACTCTACACATAAGCCGCACAGTGTGATGTTTTTATATTGTCAGTAGCGTTCAGAACATCACACACGTGTGTGCCACAATATATATGTGATGATGATTACTTTCTCTTAGTTCGCCGAGGTCAACCATATATAGTGCATTTATTGTCTCTCTATACAATTTGAAAGATAGTCCCATAAGATAAGAGTGTAAATCTACTTTTGTAAAATATAGCCAGCCTTTCTTTATCGTGCTGATTTTCACATGCTATTGAAAAATAATTAAAATTCTGTTTACTCGATTTCACTGATTCAATTGATCGTCTTTATAAATTAATGCCAAAATACACTGAATTCAATCAAAACTAGATGAACAAAATAAATAGATAAAGAAAGATATCAATGTTTAAATGCATTGTATGCAAAACAGTAATAATTAGCATAGTATTAGTAAAAAATATCGTTTGTTTTCTTTAGACTATTAATAAGCTTTTTTCTAATGATCTTTATTCGATTTAATTTTGTATCATTTATACGGCATGCATGTGTAAAGTAGTTGAAAATAGATCGCACAAAAATTAATTTTTTATTATTTCTGTAGAAACTGCTACTATACAAATCTAGAACGCTGTAGTAGTGTTTTTATGGTGTCTAAATATTTTCTGTAGGAGAAACTAGCGTCCTACATATTTGAGACTAATGATTCCTATAAAATATTTTATGGCTGTTGCGAAGCCAGACAATAGAATATCTTTATTAACATAGACTATTGAAGTTTTGATGGCATCAAAGTTTTATTCATGATTCTACATAGAACTCTGCTACATAATGACTTTTAGAAATACTGTGGATCTGTTTGTGACTAAATTCAAGACAAATTCGCAATCTATATTTCCTTCGGTAGTTTATTTATTAAATGATTTTCTGCTGTTGTATTACCGTTCGGTAGGGCAAGATTGAAGAAATTCCGATACTGTACATGCACTTTCACAACAAAAATTATAGTATGATTGATCTAATGATTCCGTTGGTTCCTCTTTTGTTTGCCGTTTTTCGTGTATATTATTATTGTGTGCATGGTCAGCAAGTGAACAAGCTAAATCACGTAGTCGGTAAAATAATTTTGATCCACACATGGCAGGATACGCTTGATTTAATCGACATTCTTCGACTTTAAACCATTTGCTTTTTATCTTTATTATTTCACCTTCACCTAATGTGTTAGATTGATCATTTAGTTGTATCGAACATAAACCTAACAAAATAAAAGAAGCTATCTAAATTCTTATCAAAACTCTCGTTGAATGTCTTATAAGAGAAATGCAAACCTTGATCAGAAATACGTTGTATATATATTGCACCAACACTTTGTATTGTATATTGACTACCATCAATATACTTTTGATTTGAGTTGGAATCAACTGATATGGATCCTATGAATAACCAGCAAAATGTGAATAAAAGAAGAGTATTAGACATGTTAAACGTCCTTGATTCTGTTCGTAATAGAAATGATAAGAATTAAAAATGATGATCGAGTAGTGATGTGAAAACTACTACTATTAATTACATCAAGAAAAATGCCATAGAAAAAGAAAACCATCAACACTATTAAAAGAACAACGCCTATGTGGATGGTTAAGAATATAAAAAGAAAGAACCAATTGCGATGATATTTTACGCTCATGAAAGTCAAAGATTCATTTTTATTAACATGAACAGGATTCATTCAATAAGAATGATTATCACATACGACGTTAAATTATTAAATTATGTTTAAGTAATAGATAAAATTACTAAAAATTTCGTTTCTCAAAAGAAAATTTTATTCTATTCGGATTCATTCGCTTGATAATAACGAATCTTTTTTGGTGTCAAAATTCTAAATTATTCTATTCACACATCGTGTCAATATAAATAATTAAATTTGCAATAAAACTAAAACAGAAGATAATAATATTATTGAAGATTCAATGTATCCCAAAAGAATTTCATGATATTATTTTGTGTTTTCCCATTAAGTGTCCAATTCAGTTGAGATATATTAGTTTTTAATAATTAACAAAGTTATGCATGCCATTACTTCGAATAATATTGGTATGACAAGTGCATAATTACCAAATAAACGATGAAACAAGATGATACTTTATGGATCATATATTTTTACTTAAATACTATAAAAGCCTACTTCTATAATTACTTGATATCGGTTAAACAAAAACAAAGTTATATCTATCGAATAATCTGGCCTCGGATTGCAAGTTTTTGAAAATGTAGGAATTAGCACAGGATCAAACTTTTTAAAAATACAGGAAAAGGTGTAAAAAAATCAGAAAAAATAGGATATCGAAAATTTGCTGTTTATATTCGAATTAAACGTTGTTTTAAACTTTTCCTGCATCAACTTAACATATTCACGAAATTTTTGTCAATATTTCATTTTAATTCTTTCTTAAATCAAATTAAATGAGTCAGACACAATTAAATTCAATCGAAATATGTTTATTTACATATTAATAAACTAATACAAAATAAATCAGGGTGTGGATAATGGTTTGTATTGTGTTTATACTCACATCAACCTACACTCACAGCGAGTATGAAAATTTTCAAAACTCGCATTTTGAATTTTTTAACCAAGAAATGTTTTCAAAAAATATCAATGACAGATCGTTGCTTGTAGAATTTCAGTCTCTACAAGCTGGCCTATTTTGTTTTGACTTTCGTAGTTAAGGACAATGTAAACTCTTATACACTTTCTAACTCAATTTACCGTTTACGAGCTTCCATACACAGATTTATCAATTTCGTTTTTGTGTATAACGATTAGTTACAAAGAAAAGACTATTACTAATAAAGATCAAGTAACTCTGAGCATGTTAAGTGCATCAAAATTGGTGAAGAAAAACTGTACCTCAGCGTTACTAAAAAAGTCACGTTGTTTTCTTACACTTTTTATCTAAGCAAAAATAACTTGGAGAAAGCGATTTTAGTGTTTTAAAGCCTGGTCAAAAAGCACTACAAAACTAACTCGAGAAGTGTTTCATTTGGAGAAATAGTTGCAGAAGAAACTGCAGCTTATTAGTGGCCCTGAAGAAAAAAGGTCTTTTTATGTCACAATCAAGCAACCGAAACTCCTCTCTATAGCCAAGAGACTTAATCCAAAAATGGTCATTTTATGGCATAAACATATCATGACAAGTTTCATCAAATCACGTTTGAACGAACTTTCTTACTCGCACAATTTTCAAGATAATGAAAAACAAAGTATGTCAAAAAAGGTCACAGCGTTACGCTTGAACAAAACCATTTACGTAACGGCATATGATAGACAACAATAAAAGCTTTTAAAAAACATACAACTATGTATAAAGACTATTTTACTTTGTTTGAATATCTTTACTTAAAATAGTCAGTTATTTTCATTTAGTCCGTTTGATAATGTGAAAAGAAATTGTAAATAAAATCGAGTCCCTTTCAAAAAAATTATAAGACTACAAAAGAATCAATAATTATCGAATAGATCTGTTTAAAAATACGAAAATTATACCAAAACAAGAGAGTTTTTAGCAATTCTCTACTTTTTTTTCATTTTTATAGGAAATACAGGAAAATTCATCGAAATATAGGAGAAAAAATAGGAATTTTTTTAAATATAGGAAATATAGGACGAATCCGAGGTCAGATCGAATATCAAATAATTCGTCGTAGCTCTATAAAAAAGAAACCGGCAACAAGAAAAGAGAGCAAAATCATTTTATTACACCAACTTATTGAATAATTCATTGTCCCTGATCGGACAATATTTGCAACTGTTTTTAAACATTTCATTGCTAATTATACTCTCTTAGTAAATTTGAAACGATCTATTTAACAGCAATGTAGATTAAATGTTGCTCCGATAATTCGGTAAAATAATTAAATTGAGTTTTTAACAGTTTTATTTTTAGCACAAACAGAAAAGTTAAAATTTAAAACTATTCTCTTGTTTTTATACGATAATAATCTAGCTATATTGATATTCTGTATTTTTATTTGTTTCAAAGATAAGCGCAATTTCACTTATTCAATGTAGCAATAATATTTAGTTTGATTAATTGAAAAGCTTCAGAAGTGTTTTTTTCTCAACTCGTGATTATATACCCAGGGGGAAAAGCGTATTTCTGTATGTCTACATATTTCTGAGTATTTCTGAGTATTTCTACGTATTTCTATGTATTTTGATGTATTTTACAATTTTGTATTCCACGTACGTACGTCTCATTTTCATAATCTTATTGGTTAAGAAATGAAACAAACATAATTATTCTTGGGAAAATTGCGTCATTTAAAAGTTGTTAGTTCAACTAAATTCGTTTGATATTTCTGTTTTATTTAAAATAAATAAATAAATAAATAATAGATTCATATCGATTGTAGCGTTCCTATCGTATTGTTTATTATATTCTCAACAAGACTGACTATCTCTTGTTCTGTCAGTGAATTTTTTTATTTTTTTATTGAGAAAAATAACAAAATGCCAAGAGGTGAATCGACATCAGCTGGTAAAAATAAATTACGTCTAACTTTACCACAGGTACCAAAAGAGTTCGTGGAAAACAGTGACAATGAAAATGGGTATGATAAATATTTAAATCAAAAGGAAATACAATTTAACCATTTATTTATTTGGATTTGAGTATCCTCGATGTATGTATCGAATCTTTAGAAAAAGACTTGGAACAACTTGATTGCACCGATAAACAAAAAGATCGGATGGAAGAATTTTTCAATTCAAAACGTGCTATTGGAGAATTAAAACATGATGATCTTGTCAATATATGTGAATTAGGCCAAGGAAATGGAGGTATTGTTTGGAAAATTCGTCATAAACTAACAGATAAGATAATGGCCAGAAAGGTGTGTTGGTTAAAGTTCTATTTTCCTACTTTTATTAGATTTTTTATTTTAAGTAATAAAACTAAGAAACCGATAAAAATGTTAGAAAATTTTTCATTTGCTTGTTTTATTTTAATTGAGCTATTCTAGATCGTTAATATTTGAAACTTCCTAAAAATGTTCTCGTTGTTAAAGCTCACGTCATTTATTGATTTGATTTATACATTTTAAATTTCTCATAATTTTGAAATCACAATTAAAAACGACGTAGTCGATGACTTTATTAATATGTTTAAATACTCACCGCGTATTAGCCAAACCATTAAAGAATTAAAAATGTCCTGTGACTTTCGATAGAAATGTGTACAGTACTTAGATTTTTATATGTGAAATCGACATCGGTAGATATGAATGGTTCCTTTAATTGAATCGCTACGCTACTTGTTTAGTATTGTACGTTTACGAATATTGATGATCATTGGTGTAATTGGTGTCAATGGTTTTGGAATTCTCTTTCACCGAAAAAGGTAGACTTATTGCATGGCTCGAAAAAAACAAATTCGAAAATTATCCGCTCACTTCTTATTATTTGTTATCCGATTAATAATTGAATACAAAATGTATTGTAACATTTCATTTTAGGGAATCTACTTAGAAGTTAAACCAGCAGTGAAAAATCAAATCGTTCGAGAACTTAAAGTAAATTAGTTTTTTCTTTTTGTTTGACCAGAATTTTTTGTATAATCAATATTTAGGTACTTGATCGATGCAATTCACCCTATATTGTTGGATTTTATGGAACGTTTGCAGCTGAAGGTCAAATTAATATTTGCATGGAATATATGGTAAATAGAACCATGTGCATAAAATTCAAGCACAAGTTTAAGAAAACTTTTCTATGTAACAGAATCATTTAAGAGCTAGTAAAATCATAGTTAACTTTCTATTCTTGATAAATCGGTGGTAATAAGAAAATAGAGTAATATGCAAATAATGTTTTTTTCTTTCAGGACGGTGGTTCATTAGATTTAATTTTGAAGAAAGTCATGCGAATTCCAGAACATATTCTTGGTAAAATTACTGTTGCTGTAAGTCATTTCTAAGAATCAATAAAAAAATCCAATCAAACATTTAAGGTTCTTCGTGGTTTAAGTTATTTGAGAGAACATCATCGAATTATGCATCGAGGTTAGTTTTTCTTTGTATTTCTTTCTTTTTTTTTTTGTTTACATCATTTATAAATTCAGATATTAAACCATCAAATATTCTTGTTAATCATCAGGGTAATTTATTTGATCAAATATTTGTTTTGTTTTGAAATGTTTTAGTTTAAATAGGAGAAATAAAATTATGTGATTTTGGTGTTAGCGCACAACTAATTGATTCAACATTACAAACATTTATTGGTACCCGTTCGTATATGTCTGTGAGTCATACATCTTTCTTTTTAATTTCCTCAATGTAAATTAAAATATTTCACTGAATAGCCTGAAAGACTTGAAGGCGCTCATTATGGAATAATGAGTGATATATGGTCGTTAGGCCTTTCACTTGTTGAAATGGCTCTTGGTCGATATCCGATTCCACCACCATCAATAGAAGATATTGATAGATTATTTGACGTAGATCCCGACGGAAATCAATCAAGACCAGAAGGTTAGCTTTCAAAGAAAATTTTCTCTTCATTTTTCTTCTTGAAAACTTTTAGGATACGGATGTTATAAAGTTTTAGCAATATTTGAATTGATGGAATGGATTGTTAATGAAGCACCACCATCATTGCCAGAAAAACATTTTTCTCCTGACTTTTGTGATTTTATTGATCGTTGGTAAACTAACTATTAAAAGTGCTTTTTTAAAATTTTATTTAGTTTTTTTCTGATTTAAATTTTAGTTTAAAAAAAAGCACAACAGAAAGAGCTGATTTAAATACACTTTTGGTATGAAAAAAAGAAAAAAACACTATTGATTTAACTTTTTAATATAATTTAACTTAGCATCATCCATTTTATAAACGATATGCAACAGAGAGTGATAATCAAGATGTTTCTCTGTGGATAGAGCAAGTACACCAAAAAGATCAAAGCCTAACAAACGATAATGATAACAACCAATATGGTAGAAGTTAATTCAAACTTAAACAGAATATTGAGTCAGATGTGTAATGATCGTTGTCGACACGAAAGCCTTAATAAGCACCTTTTTTTTCTTTTTACAGATTTGTTTTTAGTTTGCTTCAGTAAAATCGAAAGTTTGCAAGTGTATGCTTTGTATGTAAACAGTGATTCATATATGCGATTTTTTCATCAACTTAACATTGTGTCTTTTGTCATTCTGCAATGATTATGGTTATATTTTACAATAGATGACTGTGCTTTTTATTTTATTAAAAAAAGAAGAAACGAACCAGATTAATGATACTCATTCTTCTACTGTTACTATTTCTAAAATATATCTTTTGAAAAATGCCTTTTATTGCTTCTTTTCTTAGAGATGGTTTCATAATGTCGAATACAGATGATGATAGAACTCCAGAAGAAAGGCGACCTTTGCAAACACTGGATAGTGAGTACAGTAAAACGCATTAGGAGTGCCATGTATTCTTTTATTAACATTGACTTCTTTCAACAAAACGTGTGTACACTGAAAAAGGGTTAGGCGGTATTTTACTACGCTTTAAAATGTTTTGTTCGCACAAATGAAACGTTAAAAGAGTTTAGTATCATGTAGACTTTCGTGTGAAACCTGAGGGTGGGTGTTGCCAAGAGTGCCGTTCTCAGTCTGGGCGTCAGCGTGGGTGTGGATCTAAGTCTATCGCACCGGGCACCTTTCTGACGATGCACGGTTTGATTTGTCAATGGATACTCGCTACGATTCTACACCACCCTCCAAAAAACTATCATAGCACGGTTAACCTATAAATACGGAATCATATGGAATTCAATGGAATTTGAGTTTGGCCAAAATCCTAAAAATCCCTGCAGTTTCTATTGAATGTAATTCCGTTGAGCTCCTGTTAGACCTAATTCCGGAAATTTCGCACCGTAAATGTAGGAATTAGATGGAATTGGTTCCGTAATGTTGAACATTGACGAATAGGAGGTATTCTCTATTTCTATCGTAAACGGTCGTTAATACATCGTATGGTCATCGTTCACCACCACAAACGACGCCATAACGCCCTTCGTTTTGACGGACTAGATAGATCCAAAAACAAGCTATCTGAATAGGCCTTTAGCAGAGACGAAACACATCATGGTTGGCACAAAACACAACCGCACCCACACCCTCAAGATATTAAGCTCCTGGCAAGTGTCTGGATCTAGATTTTTATAAATTTCGCTGTAGAAATATGATAATATTTTCAAGATTGGGGGCTCTTATAACACCTTCCGACCCTCTCTGTGGGTGTGAGTGCTGGTGCTGTGTCTAGTACACCACAAAAAAAATCGTAGAATACTAAGCCCTTTTTCGGAGCGTTTAAGTATTCTACGATTTGCTTTTACAGTGTATGATTAGCTCCACGTCCACGCCCATACACCCACATCATAACCACGAATTAGTTATGTAATGCCAATAGTTTATCTCAAAATAAAACTCTTTTAATGCACTGGTAATTATAAGACACACGCTTTATTTAAGTATCCTGATTAGATTCGTTGATTTCATACAGCTGTTTCTGTCGATTCCATTCAGCCCATTCTTCGGATGATAAATCATCGGGTTCTACCTCTGGTCCTAGTATCAAGTGCCATCGTTGTGCGATTTCAAGTAACATAAATAATCCTATCATTGTAGCATATCCAACACTGAATCGCCACCCTTCATCGTTTTTCTCATACAAAACCCCGACGTTCGATGAATGAATCAAGCCAAAAAAAGATAAGACTACTGCAAAAAACGCCCAAACTGCAGCTCGAATAAACTTCCGATCAATCATATATATTAGAATTGCCGTGAGCAAAATACACTGTAGGAGACTACCGCCCGCCAAATTCGAAAGTCCACTGTAGGGAAAACCGGTTATTTGAGAGGTAACATTGAGAGTAAAATCCACATTGGTTATGGTAAAATTACTATAAGCAGCTGAAACACTACTAATTATGGTGCTTTGTGCCCAGTCGGCTATGACAGGCATTAAACCAAGAAGAAATGCTGGGTAGTGACGTGGCGGAGTTATAGCTAGCGTTTCTGCACATATGAAGGTACCGATGAAAATCTTCGTATACAATAAAAACAATTCTTTGATGAAGACACCTAGAGAAGTACTTACAATGACTGGATTGACAGAGGTAACGGCGATTATTTTCAAAACAAGAGGGATTATGCCAAAGAAGCACAACAATAGATAAGCCAAACAGTTGATCACGGAATAGGCTTGCCTTGCACCCATTCGTTTAAAAGCTGGATGCCCGATGTAAACTAGAGTAGAAAAAACTTGTTATGAAAACGAGACTTGTATACATTTTCGAAAATTGAAACCAAAGAAATTTGCGGCACTTACGTTTTTGGGCTCAACATTTTGTAAGTTCAGCTTCACTACAGCTCATGAACGAATACCGAAAACTTCTGAGAAAACGATCTACTGCACGGGTGTGGGTGTGTATGCGTGTACGTGCTGATCTTGCATCTGCATCAACACTCATAGCCGCAACCACACCCTCAAGCATCCGTAGACTTTGAATAAATGTTAGTAAGTCCTTGAGACTATTCGGCGCTTTCCAATCATTCCTATGAATTTTTACAAAGTTTGGTCATGAAACGATTCAAAGGCGCATAGTCAATTCTGATTCGACTATCCTTTCAAAATAATTCAACCATTCACAAGATACCTTATTCTGACATTTACTTTGAATGACTTGACATCTCCATTGAAAGTCACTCGACCCAAAGTATACTGCACTTTTGTACAAGTGAACTGTATGCAAAGTCAAGTTTTTCTTTGAATTTTGAAACACAAATATAAAATCTATACTACTTTAAAAGGCGTGTTTCTAATTAAATTAATTCTATGGCATTTTTTTGTCCGTGAAATACTGTTCGTTGAAAAGTGTTTACCAATGCTCACGTTTTGAGGTATTATTTTAGTAAGATACTTTATTTTGACGAGAAATAAGTGGTGAAATCAAACGATCGAAAAATATTATCACCAGAGAGCACAAATTATGATAAAATGTATGTTTTGCTTCGCTCAAGCTCCTAGTTACAACCTTTCTGATTGTTTAAACATAGTGAACCAAGCCTAACTCAAAAACAATACCTGAAAAAAACCAATTCTGCAGAGCACAAAACTCTCATATGCAACAGTAGCTTGCAGCTTCATCGTTAATCTGACAAAAGCATTTGTGAAACAACATACCAGTCATGCCAAGAAATGAGCCGAATAGACTTGCTATTATAGTGCCGACTCCATCGGCAAACATTGCTTCTCGGGTCGGATAAAAGTCGCCCGCTCTTTTTGCCGATTCAACACACTGAATGGTACCGATAGCAACTGAAACAGCTGTTGGTATAGTTGTTGACAAATATGGTCCGATTTTATTCATACTTTGAAACATTCCTCGAGCAGGAAATACTGCTGGATACGGTTTTACTAACTTAATAGCGTCACGTACATCTTGAGCCGTATTTGCCGATGTTGCCCAACCCAGTGCAGTGCCTATGATTAAGGCAATAGCAGCTACCGGAATTGGACCCGTTTTAACTAGACGGAAAGAAAGGGCTTATGTGAAAAGTAGGCCATTACTCACCCTTCCCATAATAGCCCAAAATAATAATTGAGAATGGCAGAAAGGATACTATTGGTAAAGCAGTGATAGATAAATATAGATTCAAACCCAGATACGTAAATCCGATGGCAGAAAGCGACGATAGAAGTGCAACACCTGGAGTATTCCGTCTGATAAACTCACCAAAGAAGGACAATGCAAGTATAACAACTCCTGTTATGAAGTTGCTTCCTAATGCAATATACCAGGCACGTTCTTGGCACATTTGTTGATCCTCCCCGTTATTTTCACTCATACAATTGTAATAGACAGGAAAGATAATACCAAAAATAAACGCAACTAAAAAGAAAATAAATCAATCAATGAACTAAATGAAGCTTATTCTTATTTACATGCTCCTGGTGTGTTAATTCCGTACGGCATCGTGCACACATCATCTCGCTGCTCTTTGTAAGCAAGTTTTCGAGCCATGTACACATAATATAGATTACCCCACAACAAAGCCAGACCAAAACTATACAAAAAGCTGACTTGATTATCTTGCTATATACAGAGACCATATTACTCCAAATGCTAAGGAAAAAGCTCTGTTAAACACTCAAATCTTATTTTCAGTTTTCATTTGACTTGTGTGTACGTAATTTAACTGTCGACGTAAATGAATTCAACTGCACTTCATCAAAATGTGAAATAGGGTCTCTGAATAAGACAACGCAATTGAAATAATAATTGACTTTATTATGTAATTATATTTGATTTTTCACGAGAAATTAGATGGAAACCATCATAATATCTTAGATTTCAAGTTCAAAAAGTCGATTGATGGATATGAATGATTGTTTTCGAACAAGTTTTAGTGTAAATTCAAAGACGACCACACCTAGTATATCATTGAACCGTACGAACTAGTACATGCTAGAACAGTTATCACTTTTTTTTGTAGTCAAAATATTCAGAATTGGTTTTCAATCATTACCATGAGTAATGGGATAGTCTATTCTTTATATTTCAAGGATATCCTGAATCAAAAAATCCTTAACTTTGTAAGAAAAAATTGTTTGGCTAGTAGAAGCTGCTCTCAAAGACTGCTATTCATATATACAAGTTTGATTGCTTTGCAACAGAAATATTTTAATTGAATAATAAAGTCGATCATTGATGCAAGTATTCTGCATGAGAATAGTCACAACGAAGTTTTCTGTCTATTAGTATAATGTACTAATCAATCTCAACATACGTTTGTAAAACATTAGTATGAGTTCGATTTTATTTTATTCAGAGATTCCGTATTATACTCGGGTAAAGCACACTTTAATACATGCCCTTCGATAGTAAGATCGCTTGCACGAGTCAAATAAAAATTGATAAAAATTTTTTAGTTGTCAACAAACATGGGTTCTTCTCAATATGATCAGTATTTTATGTATGCATTTTTACCCTGTTACAATCTTTCCATAGATTATGTCAGAGCTAAGGACGGATTGAAGTGTAATAATAATTGACAACAATGTTGCCATATTGTCAATGAATAAGGCAACCAATCCATCAATATCACCTCGTACCAAAATAGGGTATTTTGAGTTACGTCTAAAGGCACTAAGCCACTCTTTTGGATTAAATGTAAAAAAGGTATGTAATTCAGTAACTGCAATATCCCAGTAGCGCCTAAAAAAACGACCAATCGTGTTGGTTTTCATTGTAGCTTCGGTCGAACACTCTTCAATCGTTAAATGATTTTCTGTTGGCGGTATAGACGTTGAAGAAGTCATGAATACTAAAATAACTAGAAGCAATGGTAAGAAAAGTATACCAGACTGATTAATATGTGAAGATTTTATTAGTCAATTGCGTCATACAGTTAACTATTTCAAAAGTGAGCAATTATAATCATTTTTTCACCAAAAACAATCAATTACACTATAATAAAATAACCATTATCTTGCTATCCATTTAAACGCTTAATGAACTCACAATAGTTTCAGGGAAAAGTGCATTTCTTTATCGACAGAAAATGCGCTTGAGATTATTTCAGTAAAATCACTTGAAAATCATGATTCGTCATCAGACAGTCTATTATTTCGACTTAAGTGATGATTCAAATTTTCCATCTACAGATATTTTCCGTGGACAAGAATTTTTTGCTTAAATACTTTTATCCTCAATCGTCTCTTTTCTCTCTGTTACATGATCTCTAATCTTAATATGCAACGACAACAAGGGATTACTCTTATACAGAGTTCATCTACTGGCACGTGGAGGATTGCAGTGCAAACACTTTCACGAATGCTGCAACCAACTGTTTCATCAGACAATATATTTATTTAGGAGAGATGAACAGTACGGGTTGCGAAGTAATCCCTGACGATGAGTCTCCGCTATATGATACTTTTAGTTGCTGAGTTGCGTTTGATTAAATTTGGCAGCATTTCAAATAGGTCTTTTCCATTATTTACCGAATTTACAATAACATTGCCACCACTGTTAGATATTTTAAACGAAAATAAAAAATGATAATGGTAACAAGTTCTACAAAAAAATCATATTTTTGTAGAGTGATGCCTGGCAGACTAAACTGAACGAGCAACTGTATCGTAGGGCATCAACAATTTTCATGGCCGCTCACTTTGGACGAATAATGATATTTCTAATATGTCAATGCTGATACTGTAGTTGTTAGACTGTAAGCATCAATTGAGACATTGACTGAATGAATAAGCTTGAGATAAGAGTTACTCACGATATTTTTGTGACAAAAAAAATCGAGAAAATCAAACAGCAAGACTAACGTTAGAATGATTGAATTAACAGCAGCTTTTAAATTCAATTTACGTATTCATTATTTATTGTGTGTAGTTATGGAGTTTGATTATAAGTCAAGAGAAAAATTAAAACATATTTTATTATTATCAGCTACTGTGTCAACGTCTGAACTGCCCTGTTATCATTAATAACTTTTGTTTCGTTGTTCACTTCATATTTTTCTTCTTTAACTTATAATCAAACTTAATAACTATGAAATAAACAGCAGCTATGAAACAATCATTTTTATTTTCAAATTATCATACATATGAAGCGCAAGAAAAAAAACATTGAGAATGAATCGTCTCGAGAAGGGGGGGGGCGTAGATACACAAAATATACACAAGTATATCGTCAATAATGGGCCTCTAGATTAAAGTGTAACAGAGTACGAATACATATGATTAATATAGGGTGATTGTCAGAAAAATATTTGCACCACCAAAACAGCAATAATCTGAATAAGAATGCTAGAGAAACGATACGTATATTTTTGAGAAAGGCGCGAAAAATGAAGGCTGGCTCCACTCCAAGCTGGAAAGCCTATGTGTAAGCAAAAATATTATTTTTCGCCACTCACCTAAAAAAATCCCGAATAAGAGCTGGGCACAAAAAGAGTCGATAAAAAGAAAGCGAGGTTTTTCGTTGACTTCATGTCTGAAGAAACAGGCTTGAAACAAATATAGTCATTCCTGTTTCCTCTCGCTCATTTTAAAAATACGTAGTATTCTTCATTTTATGTAGCTAATGAATCTCAGCACAGTAGAGTATATGCATGACTGCCTTGAATGATGATTAATTGCAATTCATTTCTTTGCTATGATATGCTTATATTCGTTCATAATGTATGCCGCAGGCATATATAGCAATTCAAATTCCCATTAAAAATTATGGGCAACAAAAATAAAATGTTAGATGATATCATTGATTGACGAAGAAAAGTGTTACAATCAACAGATCATAGAATACGTATTTAATAACATACCTAGAAATTTAAACAGCTGTTTTTTATCTGAAAAATTACCGAGTGTGGGTGTGAGTTTAGATCAGCGCATGGATGAACAATGATGTGTACTCACACCCACACCCATCCACATGTTTTTTTAAACATAAGGGTAATAACAAAATATTCTAGTTGCTGCCAAATTGCTGTTGAATATGCGTGATATTGTTTCTCCTTATGTAAATAGCTGTGTTTCATCCAACCACGACGAAAAAAGAAAACTAAGCGTCGATAAAATTGCAAAACTCAAAAATTACAAAAGATTAAGAAAGGAAAGAAAATATGGCATCGCTGATTTTAACTCTAAGTTTGTGTGAACACGAGTTCGGTTTTACTGAGAAAACACTGGTCATGTAAAGATAGAGAAGGGCAGATCGAAGAAAACACACACGAACACATATACGTGTATAGATACTTACATATATAGAGTGATGCATAGACGAGAAAAGAAAAATCGAATGATGTATATGCGAAAACATAAAGGAAAAAAATCAAGATGTGAAATGACATAGTTCGTAGGGAAAAAGTCTATGTATGCTGCACAGATACATATTGGAAGAATCCGCAACATTAACTTATGCATCTTTTCTTTTTACGTTATTAATACTTTGCTGGGCAAAAAAGTTTTGACCCATCAATAAAAACCTTGCTCATTTCGCCAATCGTTTTTTCGACACAAGAGAAGTTTGCCTATTAGTCTTAAAATCCTGATTACGCTGCTGAAACACAATCATAAATACGGATGCATGCAAATAAAATACTGTTTGCAAAAGCTAGGCAAACGCATCGAAATGAATTTGAAAGATATCAATCATTTGAGTATGGAATATTGACTTTCAAAAATACGTTACCTATCAACTCTAAAAGGTTAAGATGATATTTTAAGCTAGAAAGATTGCAGGAAGAAAGTATATTATTCTACTTTTTATTGGCGACCTTTCGTTGTATTTGCTTGATGCAGCAGTTCTGGTGATGTTGCGTCTGTCCGATTGACATACCTTGGAAAAGCCTTCATAATCTATAAGTAATCTTACGCATATGAGTATGAGTGCTGTAAGAGCTAAATTTTTATTAATCGCAATTTTGCCAATACACTATAGTCCCTAAAATTTTTCACTACCATATACTACCTGTCATCAAAGCGCTAGTTTATGAGAAAGTTATAAATGTTTCTTATACAGTAATAAAAGTATGAATGAATATGAGTAATGAGAAAAGAAACGAATGAAAATAGTTCATTTATAATGCTGATGGTGGTGAAACAAGTTTGCCACTGAATAAAACGATATTTTGTCGACTTTCGCGAATGAAAAATAAAAACGGTCGATCGGGGTGTGGGTGGGTGTGGGTTGTGTGGGGGTGTGTTTGTTGGTGTGGGGTGTGGGTGTGCGTGTGGGTGTTAGTTTCTCTTTCAATACATTACACACGCACACCCTCAATTTCAATGAATATATATGTCAGATATTTTGAGTGAACTAGGCAAACTGCTTCATGGTGTTGATGCGAAAAAAGTAGCAGATTGACGCCGTTTTTGACAATCGTTTCAACTTTTATAATCTACACAATGTGCAAATATTCTGAAAGTTGTCAAAGTGTGTAATCATAATTACAATACTTTTTGCGACTGAGTGACTAATCGCCTCAATTATTTGATGTGTTTCGTTCTTGTGATCGTGGTGTTCCATCCAAGTGTTGCATGATTCAATCTTCATTTTATTAAAAATTTGTAAGATTAAAACCAAAACCAAGGAGAGGGGACATTTTGAGGAGAAATTGGCCCCCTCGAAAACTCCGATTTTTTTCTCGAAAAACGATCATATAAGGCACAAGGAAGCTTTTAAGACGAAAAAAAATCACTTACTCAAAGAGTGGAATCTAGCTCAGGTCCCAATTATGCTGTACTTGAATATATCCACATTTGTTAGCAAAAAATCCTCGAAAAATAACCTTGCCCTAGGGAGAATCTTTGATGTTTCTGCGCCAGATCCTTTACAGATATCGCCAGGATCCTGCAAGGATTCGCTCTTTTTTCCTGAGGAAACCACTAAATCCTGAAAAAAGCGTGTAGCCACGGAATTTCAGCATTCTGTCAGGATTTCAATAATTCGAAAATAAAAAAAGGATTTCCGATCATATATTTCAGGATTTGGCTAGTTGTCCTCGAAGATATTATCAACTTTCTTGTCAGGATCTTTCTAGGATTTGACTAGGCTTTCTTGAGGATGTTACCAATTTCTTGGCAGGATCTTTGCAGGATTTTCTAAATAGAACATAAGAGAAATGAACACATAGAGTATCGATCTCTAGACCTTCAGTTTACATGCCGACCAGTTTACCGAGCTGGATGTGCCATGTCACTCTATATCACTTCAGCGTTCAATTTCTTAATTTTTTTCTCTACTGTAAATTTCTATTTGAATTCTATGTCAATACAAATCACTTCAAAAGTTTTTTAAAAATGCAAAATCATTTTACATATGTCTGTTAATCGATAAAAATTTGCTATTTTTTTAAATTTGAATTGGATTTAAAAAATACATTTTTAACTTTTTTTTCGAGCATAATCAAAACTGTAATCAGTTTTACCGAAATATTCGCTGATGATTAAAACTACCTATTCAATCAAAAAGTTTTACCATCACTAAATTCAAATTAACACCCTAATTTAATGATTTTCAATTTTCAATATTCTCTTCTTGATAGAATTAAAAAATAGCTCACTGTGGTAGTGTGAGTCCCAAAACAACTTATATGTAAGCTGTGAAGGAATTTAGAAAAAAAATTTTTAAGATTTTTAAGATTTGTTCTACTTCTTTATGAAAAGAACAAATCAAGATGAAGATAAAAATACTACTAGATAATTTATTTAGAATTTTTATTTCGTCCGAACAAAAACACAATATGGTCTTGAAAAATGCTTTTCTTATTGCTGCAGCGATTTTTCTCAACATTAGTATTAAAACTCTGTTGAAATATAAAGACTTTTAAATCTCGAACGGATCCTGTTCTGAAGCTAGCTAAAAAAGCGAGGAAACCGCTTCATTCATTCATGCTATATTCTTGATAGGATCTTAAAAATTAAATTTTGAATAGCCCCTAAACACAAACCTGGAAAGATCTTGACTGGCTCTTGATATTTTCTTATCAAGATCCTGATCACACTTGTACTTTTTTCAAGGATTCGCAATGCCAGTTCTTGAGCATTTCCTCGCAGGATCCTGATCGAAGTTTGGCAAGCTTTCTGCAATTGTGAATTCTCGCTAATCTTGTTTTCTCCCTGATAAGATCCTCCTTTGATACAATATAACTCTTGACAGGAACCTCGTCTCAAGATCCAGAACAGATCTTGAAGCAAATTCAATGAAATCTCGACGAAGTTCTGTGTCTAATTTTTCTTAAGTTCCTGAATAGGATCGGAAGTGGATCCTGCTAGGATCCTGCAATATCAATTAAGAGAAAATTTAATAAAGAATTTGAACAAATTTTGGATAGAATCCTATATCAAACCTAGCAGGATCCTTAAGATTTATGATCCTGAAAGATTCTTCCAGATTGTCTTAAGAAATAGACGCAGCTGAGTAGACAAAGCAATATCCTGGAAAGATCTTTGCTAGATCCTTATAATTTCTTGTAAAAATCCTTATTAGTTTTTGCAATGTTTTGAGAGGTCAGAACGCGCATATTCTTGAAAAGTTCTGAACAAGATCCCGATTAAAGCTTTGCAGGATTTGTCAGTTTCATATTCTAACTGATCTTGCTGTTTTCTTGTCAAGATCCTCGTCTAATATGGCTATCACTCCTGGCAAGATCCTGATATGAAGATTTGGCCAAGATCTTAACAAGAACCTAATAAAATCTTGGTAGAATCCTGTCTCATAATCTTGAGAAGATCCTCGCTAGGATTTTGAGTAAATCTTGACTGAATCCTGTCTTTTCAACTCAAAAAACAATCCGGGCAGGAATTTGAAGAAATCCTGAACAGGATCCTGTTCCTCCTTGAAAAATTCTGGGAACAGAAATTACCAGGATTCGAAACAGGATTCTGAATAAAACTTGACAGGATCTTTGAGATTCAGGATCCTGGAAGATCCTTCCAGGGTTTCTCAAGGAATGAGCAGGATTGAGACTTGGGTGACCACTATGGTGTCATAGGAATGATATTATATGAATATGCTTATTTGTTAGACCATTCTGATATTAGTGGATCCGTTTATGCATTTTTTTAAACAAGTCATGGATTATTGGATTCAAGATCGAGTTAAATCACAAAGTCTTAGATTTCGTTTTCAAAGGAGGCCAAAGAGCTATGTCGAGGCTTTAGGATCGGTACCACTTGATGTGGATAGTAGGCATAGTTAGGATTCGGAGCGTATACTATGTGCATGTCTTCTTAACATTTTATTGATTAAGGATGACGATCGTCCGTTTCATCATCAGTTGTATCGTAAAAGTCAGATATTTGTGGAGCATCAGTTACGTACTTAATGAAATTTCCTGAAGGCATGTTTCGACTGTTCAGTTGCCAGCGTTGAAAAGATAGAAACCATATCGCAGAAGCGACGTGACTGTAACATCCCAAAAGTCCATTACCTATGGGGCAGTCACGCCACCATTCCAAAACCTCGTCAGGTGTAAATTGAATAATGGGATTATGTGTTAATCGATTTACATGAACAGATCTAGCTGGAACACATATGATGTTTGGATAATCGTTACACCTATAAATCTCATAGTTTACAGCTCCATTCAGATCAGTTGGTGTTGCCTTTTCTGCAGCATAGGAACGTGGCCGTTTCAATTAAAAAACGTCTATTATCGAAATAGGAGGAGAAGTTTTTCTACTAAATGGGAATTGTTATATCAATACCTAAATTTATATTTTCAACTATATTATCTTCAGATAAAATGGGAAATTCATTAAGTATATCGATATGATCAAGCTTGTTCCATTTAGGTGATAACTTCTTCAGATTGTTTCGTTCACAAAAACTAAGTTAATAAAGAAATATGTAAAAATTCTGAGTCTTAACGTAATATTTAAAGTTTCTGTTTCGAAATTGTTTTTTTTTATTACTTAAACTTAGCATTTTCTCGGCGATTTCAATGTCTTCTAAAGCAGATGTTTTAATAGGAGTTCGATATCTATTAATGATGGAACACACAATTGATAGATATTCTTCGAGATGCGGTATAGACAAGTTCTGTACTGTATTCGAAAAGAATTTGAACTGCTTTAGTCGAGCATTTACTGCTTCAACTACCCATCTAATCTTAGTGACACATCTTGATTCATTAGCCTCATCAGTTGCAAATTGGCGACGATCATTGAGAAATGGTGGTAAAGTTACGTTTAAACCAAACCCTTCCATTGTGTTAATCGAATCGCGAAAACCTCTGTCAACAACAACAACATCGTCCTAAAGGAGGAACACATTTATGTGAAAAATATCAGAACGCGCAAACCTTTTGTAACCTCCACTATTTTATCTGTATTTCGATGTAAAATATTATTCGTAACCGATGCATCGTTATTCGAGAAATTAGACAAAAAAGGACCCATGCAAGCGGTGATGTAACCCGTAGTAGAAACAATCCGCATTGGTTTCAACAATGATCTCTTTTTGTGTAGATTATATGATTTTCTTTGAAAAGTGTTGTTTCTAGATTCCTGTAAAAAATTTAATCAGTAAAAAAAGGTCCAACTTCTATTTAATTACTTGTATGTATATATATGTACCATCAACGACAAATATAGCTTTATCACGTTCACCACCACATGCTAGCTGACGTGCTACTGCTGATGTGTGTTGGTCAATTATTTCCTGACGTACAATATGACTTAAGCCTAAATTAAGCAGTACGAAAGTGTTCATTAAAGCGCTTCGAGCACTTTCCAGACTTCGAGATACTATTTTTGCATCTGGAAGTTGAAATAAGATTGATAATAGTTTATTTGAAGGTCCCATTCGCAGTTTACATAATAAAAGAGCTAAAGCTGTACGAATAGATCTATTACTTGAATTTCGTAACTTATATCGTATTTCAAGATATACGATATTAAATCGTTAAATTGGTCTTTCGAAAGAGTTATCAATGCTCTATATTCATCATCAGATAGCAACAGAGGATCGTCAAAATACAAACGTTTTTGCTTTTGAAAAAGCTGTTGTGGTATACTTAACAGAAGCTGGACGTCACCAGAACTGAATTGTTTATATTGGATAGTAAATGGGGAAAGTATATTAATAGCTGCTAGTGCGAGCCGATCATCGATCATATGGTCAGGACAACATCGTGCTTCTTCAGGTATTAAGATATTCTTTTTCAAAAATACCAAATCGCGATCTTCAGATGATATGATACGAGAGCTTTCTTCAATATCAGATCGACATACACAACAAATTCTATAACTTTAATAATCCTAGCAACATTTCAACAAAATATTTTTTCTCACTTATGAGAGGCAATAGCACAATTCATATGCAACGTTATCAGTTCTTCCTTTTCTATAGTACGAACAACTTGATTGGACGCGGTTCTTTCATTCACCGGGTTCATTTCCATTTCATCGTTCTACACTCTAAATAAAAAGCGTTTCCCCGGAAACCGAAATCACTTCGGAAACCCTTTCGGAAACTCATAAACGTATCCGGAAAGGTTTTCGGCTCTAAGCTGAGGTTTTGAACTAACCTTACTGGTTTCCGAGTTCCCCGAAACGGTTCGGCTTTCGAGAATTCGGATAGGAAACCTTTAACAGTTCTCTCGGAAATCATCAAACAATTTTCGAAACCCAAAAGTTATCCTCGGAAACCTTTTTTGTTTTGAAAACCTTCCCGGAAACTTAAAGCGTTTCGTCAGCAACCTTTCGGTTTTCGACAACTTTTTTTCGGGAACCTTTTCGGTTTCTGGGGATCGTAAACGTTGAAAGCGTATGCCAGAATACTAGCTTGTTTTCCGAACATATCTCGAAAACCCTTCGAGATTTCCAAAGTTTTAGAAACCTATGAGTTTCCGAGGAAATGTCTCGGAAACCCATTAAACATAGTGGAAAACCGAACTAGTATTAAAATTTCATCTTTCTCATTTTCACATTGCCATCGTATAATTTACATTTTTAGGTGTTAATCGGCAGCTATAACAGAAATCGTCTTCACTCTCAAAAAAAAGGTGTCATATGGAACTATTTATTGTTCTAGCCAAGATACTGAACCTTTTAAGGTTTCACTCGTTTATTAATAAACAACCGAGGGTTCTAGCTAGTTTAAAGAGCCATATCAGATCTTCGATAGTTCCCAATGTTTGGAAAGGTTCCGCCCTACACGATTTTTGTTTTGTTCAACCATTTCTGCAAAGATGGTTCTGACTTGAACCAAGGTACGATAATTTCCGAACGTGATTTCAGTAATATACATCACGAATAAGTTATCGAGGTGTAGGAATCCAACTCCGGCAACACTTTTTCAATCCGAGCTCCCATTGGTCAGAAACTGGGTCCATCAAAAAATCGAGTGCTGTAAAATTAGATATTTCATTTCAACTCCGATCAGAATTCTGATTGAAGTTTGAGATAATTTATCGAGATCCAAGAATCCGAATCCGACATCATCGATACCGAGCCTGAGAATCCGAGTCGGATTGATGGATATGGGTAGGTGCGTCTCAATAATCAATTCTATAGTAAGTTATAACTTATAAAATGCGCTTATTCTTTTATCCATTTTCATATATCACAATTATCAATAGGAAGTAATGTCGATCTGGTAAAATGAAGTCAATATTTTCTTTATTTAGGTATGTAGCAATAATCAATTGATATGCAAGTTCTATATGATAAAATGAATTAATATTTTTTTTCTATTTAGGTATATGTGAATAATTGATCTCATTGTAAGTTCAATCTTACACTATTAGTGATTCCTCTTGTTTTTTGTTTAGGATCGTGCCAATAACAAGTAACGGCGATTGCCCTTTCGTGCGAATAAAGGAGAAAGAGCTGGCTCGTATTCTGCTCACAGCAAACTCAGGTGAATATAACACATACGGTTTAGTGGTTTAGCATAGAAATGAAGATTAAGGATAGGATTCAGGGTGAAAGATAGAAATTAAGTTAAGGTTAGAATTTAGGTTAAGGATAGAAATTAGGGTTAAGGATAGAATTAAGGGTTAAGATTAGAATTAAAGGGTAAGGATAGAAATAAGGGCTAAGATTAGAATTTAGATCAAGGATAGAGATAGTGGTTAAGAATAGAATTTAAGTTACGGTTAGAATTAAGGGCTAAGGTTATAATATAGGTTAAGGATAGAAATTAGAGTTAAGGATAGAATTAAGAGTTAAGATTAGAATTAAGGGTTAAGGATAGAAATTAGGGTTAAAGTTAGAATTAAGGGTTATGGATAGAAATACGTGGTTAAATATGAAATTAACGGCTGGATATAACATTAGTGGCGAGTACTAGACTAATTGAGTGTGGTGGACTACATGCTACCACTCTAGAACCATTTCTGGAAGAAAAAGGAAGAGGTTCCAGCTAGAACCAGGTTTTGCTTGAAACTTAAATGGTTCTGAAAATGGTACCCAAATCTAGAACCCCAAAAGGTGCCCGAAGTATCCGAAACCTTCAACAGGTTTTCGGCGTCGACAACTTTCTCGATTGCTTGTGAGGGTTTCAGATAAGTTTCCGAATGCTCGGAAACCCATTCCCGGAAACCTATAAAGGGTTTCATACAGTGACAAACCCGGAAACCTCCTATTCGCTTCCCAGAAAGCGGATTTCATTTAGAGTTTACTTGATAAAAAAAAACATTTTTGTCAACAATTATGAAATCCATTTTTCTCATTACCGATTCTGTATTCGAAACCACATTATGGTCAGCTAATTCTTCTTCGATACGCGAAAAGATATTTCCAAACTCGGGATATCTGCTTTTCCAATCGTAATAAGCCGTGCGGCATGTATTGCAAATTTTAGTTTCTGGAGTGACGGTTGTCATTGTTCTGATTGACATGAATAAACGTGAACATGAACTCTTCAAAGATCTCACAGCGGAAGATCGGTAAAGAAGCAAGCCACAAGGGCAATATTCATGCGGCATAGTTCTATGCTTTTTATTTTCAATAAATTTTATAAAGTTATGAATAGACTTAACATACCACGTGTACTAGTTCAATTTATTTCCTTCGCTCAAACACGTGTTTATATCACAGGGTATATCCATACGCACATATAAAATATGCGTAATTTTTCCTCATCACGAATAAAAATACTACCAAAGTAAATGTTTCATTTTCACAATTCCCTACCATTATCCCAACGATTGTTCATGTTCTAATAGTACTATTAATAAGCTATTAAATGATATATAATATGCGATGGCAGACCCTTTCTACAATCTATAACTAGCAGTACTAATATCAGAAAATATTAACAAATAAGCAAATTTATGTAATATCATTCCTATGACACCATAGTGGCCAATTTATTTTCTTCAACATTTGTTCATATTCTATTACAACTTTTCATAAGCCATTAAATGATAGATAATATACGGTGGTGAACTGTTTTTTTTGAGGATTTTTTGCTACCAAATGTGGATATACTCAAGTACAGTATAATTGGGACCTACGTTAGATTCCACTCTTTGAGTAAGTGTTTTTTTTTGGTTTTAGAAGCTTCCTTGTACCTTATATGATCGTTTTGTGAGAAAAAATTCGAAGTTTTCGAGGGGGTCAATTTCACCTCAAAACGTCCCCCCTCCTTTCAAATATGCTTGTCTTTCTTAGGAACTTGTCGAAAACAGCCTCAATTCGATCATAAATTATGGAATTTTCATGATCGTGTCGTCGCTACTGTACCTCGATCCAATAATTCGGTTGAAGGCTGGCACAATGCTGTCGCTAATCGCGCCGCAATAAGTCATCTAACTATCGTGAAACTGGAAGAAAAAAATCGTCGTGAACAAGCAAAATTTGAAGTGGACATGGCGAAGATTCTTCAAGGCCACGATATCAAGACGAAGAAAGCCTGCTATCGAAAAATGGACGAGCGTATTACTCTATTGGTCAACTCATTCAGTTCAACTCAATTGGATCAATTCTTAAAAAATATAGCAGCTAACGTTACTCTATAGGTATTTTTTCTTTAAATTACTTACTGTTAGGTAGTGGAGCTGTAATTGGTCCACTATCTTTCTCTTTTCTTTCTCTTTCTCTTTCTCTTTCTCTTTCTTTCTTTCTTTCTTTCGTTTCTTCTCTCTTCTTTACTTTCGTTTTCTCTTCTTTCGTTTCTTTGTTTCTTCTTTTTTTCTCACGCGTATATCTCTATATATTCCTTTGTTTATGTTTGAAATAAACAGTTATGTATTTTCCACGCCTAGTCTAGATAGACTAACACTTTCTTTCTTTAAATTATTTCTTTTTCTTTAGATTATTTTCTTTTCTGCTTTTTTTTCTGAATTTGTTCATTAGTATATTATGTATTGTTCTCAAAATAAACAAATATTAACTCATCAATTTTTTATCTTTCAATAAAAAAAGAATTAGCTAAGAGAGAAGATGCAAAGAATGGATAGAGTTGAGCATAGTGAAAGAAATTTATCTCCAATGAACAGAACGGAAGAAATTTATTTGCGACGAAGTGAACGCGACGACATGAGCGCGACGATGTGTGCGGTCACCACGAAAATAAGAAGCAGTGAGATTAGAGTCACACTTCATTGACTCAGGTAAACATTTTATGTTGAAAAAAAAATAAAAAACATGTAACGTCTATATATACAAAGTAATAACTCGTGCAGACTCACATTAAAAAATAAGCATTCTGATATCGACTGGTAAGTAGTCTTATTCGATCATCGATATTTTCACATTAGCGATGTGTTTGATTTTTACAATGTAGCAGTGTAGATAATAATGACAGCAAAAATGAGGCAAGATAAACATACATTTGTGTTTAATATGAAGATATTG